TGCCAGCCAAACCATCAAAACTAAATTCATGGATAGAATTAGGGATCGAATCGGTATGAGAATCACATGAATCATCAGTATGTTTCTTGTGACTAAGATTCATCTGTTGCGTTGGCTCCTCCAGTATCCGCACTTGAAACTGTTCATACCGTTCTCTTGACGTTTAAGCACGGATACTAGCACAACATATGTATTTTCGAAAATTAAAAGACGCAGTTCGGGTACGAATAGGGAAAACTTATTACAATATAGTCCTACCCACCATTTTGCAGGTTCAGCTTACGTAGAACTTGTTCCACTTCTTCCAGCACATTTACTTTTTGCTGCCCTGAACAAGAGAAACAGACTGTCGTTAGTAACGCCACATGTAATGATTTTTAATACTGTTACGTACCTTCTTTTGGAGCTATGCCAGTTTAAGAAGGACGAAGCCATGGAAACTGTTCAAGGAAGTTATACACGACGAAGTGTCTGCAACTGTACTGTTTGTCACAGAAAGAAGTTACATATCCGTGGAAACTTGACAAATTTAGTTGTAGTGTTTGTATGAAATAGTTATTCTTTTTATTTGATTTTGCTATTTCGGGAATTCCTAGTTTGTATAACAATTCAGATGCTTGTATTCACCACAGTAGTCCAGCTGTCGAGACTCTCGGGGGGGGAACTTGTTTAAAATGAGCTAAGAGAGAAGACAGTGTGCACAAGATCGCTAAACAGAATGAATTCTCGCGCTTCAACAGAATGTTGAAAGTGCCGTCCAGTATAATACATGACCTAGAGTTTCCTGAAGAAAGTGCATTACCTCGACTCAATGTCTAGCAACCGTCTCGAGAAGAACGCCAAAGGTTGTCATGTGTGGTTGACCCATTGCTGTAAAACTCCTCAGTCGGCCGATTCGTATACATCTACAGTGATATAAATTGGTGCTTTGTTGTCCTGGTTTGCGGGCAATGTCACCCTGGAGATAAGATTTTTTAATGTGGGGAATGCTTCACTCGTGGTATCGTCCAAATTGATGGATTTCGCATTTCCACGAAGTTGGTCTGTTAAAGGCTTCATGGGGAACGAGCAATTTGGTATGAAACGTCTTCATGAACTTAATAGGCCGTTAAACGTGCGCAGTTACTTGATTGTGGTCGGTTCTGGACAATCCAGAATAGCCGCCACTTTGCTTTTTAGAAGTCGCATGACTTGACCGTCAAAAGTGTCCGAGAAATTCTATAGGGCCGTTGACGATTTGACAGTTCTGAACGTCTTCAGTAATGCCGTGTTTTCTCAGTCGTTCGGAGATCATGTCCAGATGCTGGAGATGAGATCCTTTACGGACTTGCAATCAAGCAGTCATCAACACTCATCGATGAAAGTCTGGAAAGTTTGTGCAGCATTTCTTAAGTCGAAAGACATGCGTGAAAGTTCGCAGAGACTGAAAGGCGCGATGATAGAGGTTTTAGGAATATCGTCAGCAGCCATGGGAGTTTTGGTTATACTCCTCAACGAAGTCGATTTTTGAAGAAACATCTGTACATTTCAAGGTAGCTGTCAAATCATGAATGTGAGGCAACGGGTAACGATCAGGAGTGATTTTCTCACTTAGTCGCAGATTATAACTAGTTGGACGCCAGTCATTGCTGTCCTTTTTAGGGACCAAATGCAAGGGAGATGCACATAGGCTGTTTGATGGCCGAATGATTCATATGATCGACTTCCTTTTGGTCAACCTCAGCTTTTCGAAAGCTGGTCAGAGCTCTTTCGAGAGTACAGGTGGTCCAGTAGTCGTGAATCGGCGTGGTAATTTTGGTTGTGTTTTGTACAGTTCGAGGTACTTGTCGAGTATCCGTTGGGAGTAGAGGTTGATTATGTGCTTGACAGCGACCAGGAACGATTTACTACCGGGAAGTGGAGTTACACAAACAGGTAAGTTAATATATCCGTCCACCAACCTCCGTTTACGCGTGTCGGTGAGTAAATCATGATATTGTCTGAGGTCTATACCAGTGATTGGCATAAAGGCATCTGCAACAACGAAAATCCAGTGGATGGATTTGTATATACCCAAGTTAAGGTAACACAGACGCCCACCATGTGTGGTGATCGGCTTACTATTTGCTGCCTGTAAGGTGAAAACTGGTTTATGCTGTCGACAGTTAGGGTTTGCAGGAAGAACGCTTAATTATGCATTAGTATTGACAAGATAGCGAACCTTCGTTATCACGTCAGTGATATCTGACAGACGGTTATGTTTGCTGGCTAGGGAAGCGGTTAAAGTGTGCCAAATCGGGAGATTCCTGAAAGACTTTTTGTGTCGGTCGGTTTGGGTTCGGAAAATTGCAAGGTTTTCTGTGATTTCAAGACTTGCCGTAATGATTATGACTCTGTAGAATTATGGTCTAGTATGATATTAGTACTGATCTAATAATAGACCTAATCCTAAAATTGTAGATTTATCATGATATAACTGCCTAATCTATAAGATCTTACGTGAAAGTCACATCATCGACTACACCAACTCACTGTATCGTAACAAATACCAACACATGATGAAGAACAAGCTTAGGCTAGAAAAGGAACAATATATTTAATATGAATAGGAGATACAAGGTAACATTCAGCAGAGACCACGCCTGCATGGCCGAGCCATGCCAGTCGATCAACTCCAGTCCATTCAATTCCTTGTTCGCGCCTTCTCCATTGTCGGGTATTTCTCCGCGTTAAATATTGAATATCTATTTTCTGAGTAGTCTCGTGTTCACAGCTTTGTGGATTGTGTGGCTATTGTCCAATGCCACTACAACTCCAGCATCAACGGGATTTATCTGTCTCTCATGGTGTAGAAAATGATCTTCGCCGTGACGAGCCTAATTGAGGAGTTTGAAAGCGTGTACGATCACAATGATTATCTAGATAATAATTAAATGTGACAGAGGTCTGTAACTTTGTTTTGTGCTGTTTCAGGTTCTTCTCTGACAGAATAAACCTCGTTGTTGGGGGTTCAGGTGATCTCCAGAATCTGACCAGTATATGCAGCTAGTTCGTCTACGACGTTATTTCGAAATGAGACGAGGGTTGCCAGCACCTCTCGAGGAGCTTTGTCATGGAGAGATGTTTAAACAAGCCCTCGTCAAAGGTCTGTCGACAAATGAACTTTTTGTGCCTGAGGGTAACCCTTGTTATACTGATAGAAGAAACCAAACTAGTGGTGAACAGGTCTCTATTATGATCGTGCGACATTCACAGTGGAGTGGCAGGTTGCCTGTTCGAACACACAAAGCTTTCCAACATTCAATACCAGGTTGTTAAAAATATGGTGTTTATACGAGGTAAGTGAATCAGTGCATGAGCTATATTGTTTTGACATATACTTAGTTATTGGTGGTCAATCTCAACTGTTACAAACTATTATTGGCAGCAACGTTTCTGTCCCTGAGCCATGTTGCAAATCAATGTTGTGGAAGAGCTCGTCTAATCTTCGTCCGTCGGTTAAGTTTCCATGTTTAAGTATAGCTCTTTTTAGAGTTTCATATGGTTTCACAACATCACTAGCAGTGTGACATACCCGTTGAAATCGCGCGGTAATGCTCTCACCACTGCGAGGAATCGTACACGTGGGTCGGACACTCCGTGTTAGTGGGAGTCAGCATCTGTGTAGTAGAACCAGGCCTCTGTATTATTGGCCCGAAATGGCATTAGCTGGGGTGAGGGATACGAATGAGGTTTAATCCTTAGTAACTTAGGTGTCCGTTCCATCAAGATGATGATATATTTGAAGGCTATCGACATTTTGGGGAGCGTTTATTCTAAGCTGGCTAACAGTTGTAAGAGGTGCGTAGCATTGCGTACTCACTCATGATCTGGTGCCGATGCTTAACCGAGTATGTCCAGTTAGATGTATCCATGAAAACTAACGAGGTCAGCATTAAATGTCAAAGACTTACAGAGCCATTTACTTTGGGGATTTATTTACTACCACACTATTTTAGTACCATTCCTAACTTCTTGATGGCTAGTCAGTATGCGAGTGTTAATGCATAACACTATACAGAAATCAAACTATCTGATAAGTCATTAACCTAATCGACCTGAGCGTTGCGGTGTGATTATCATTTCCCTTTGACAGCGAAAAGACTAGATAATGAAACGACAATACGTACAAGAGGCGGTCAAGCACACCATATAATAATGATGAGAGCGATATATGAACCAGTTCTATTCAGATTTGTGCAAAAACTACTTTAATGATCAGAAACAGACCAAGGCTCGAGTCAGAAAAGTTGAATACATATGGATGTATTATCTTGGATCTTTAATGGTGCACTCAATAATCCATAAAGCAATAACCATCTTCCAACAACAAATGGGACTATCACATTTTCTTACATGGCACCGACTGGTCATTTTGCATTGGTCATCTTTGAGTCTAAGGAAAGTTCCTTTATTTCATCGAGACCATCAGCCGATTAAGATTATACTATCACTGAAAACCTGGAAGCACTGGACGGTTGTTTCATTCTTGTATGGGACTCACTGATTATGAGTACCCACGATTCCGCACACGGATTTCGAATGCAGAAACTTCGGTCTCACGCAAACGCTAAACCCCTGGACGGTCGTCCAGGTTCTTAATATTGGTTTATATTGATCGGTTCACGATCCCAATGAAATTCAACAAATCCCACAACACCGAAATGAAAATTTTACTAGATAAATTAGGCAAACCTTGGCATGTGTTGGCCAAGTGATAACAAAATAAACTTTTTCACCATCCTGTCTACTGATTATTCCCGAATATTTTTGAAAAGTTACAGATCTAGAAATCTTGCTTTAAATAAATAATTACTGTGTCGAACGCACCAATAATTTGAAGGATGCTTGACCTTCAAGTGCAACCGCCTCCATAAGGTTTTGTGGTAACAACAACAGCTGATTGCAGTAACATAGTTTTCAAGTCCCCATATACTTACAATCTTTTGTGTATAAAGTAGCATCTGAACAGCTCAGTCAAAATGAGCGATGATAATTCAGTTTTGGAAAAGTTTGTATTAGAGGTATGGTTTGCTATTGTTTCCTTAATGGTCATTACAAAGAACGATTGCAACTTTGATATCGACAATGTTGATTTTAAAACGAAGGAGGTAGCTAGTGGATTTGTATTAATTTTTCTAGGAAATATTGCAAGAATGTCGTAAAAGGTTTGAGAACCATACCGTTTCTGGATTGTATACTTGTCTTTGCTGTTTGCGAATATTGACGCGCGACAATATCCTGCGGAAGGAATTTACATCCGAGTTTTTTTTATCTCAAATCTTCAAATATGCCTTCGAATATAACTACAACCTTGAGTATTCTAAAACTAGTCTAGAAGCTCTAAAATCTCTTTCCAATATTGTATTTAAAGAGCCATGTGTCATAGGACCACTTAAGTCAGTCGTACCTCTGTATTTTAACTGTTTAGGACCATGGGTTTCATTAAAAATGTGCTAGAAAGTGTGGATATCCTCATTGAAACTGAAGATAATGAAAAGCTCCTGTTATGTCTTAAGCTTCTTTTTCTTGTTACCGCTCTGGATTCAGCTTCAAGGTATTGTAATATTTAAATCACATAGAATTTAGACAAGAACTAATGGAATTCAACGCTCTGCGAATGCTTGTGAGAGTCGTGAATATGAAAAGATCAAAAATAACCGATTCGAATGTTTCAGCAGAAGCACTTAAAGTTGTATATAACGTACTCTACTCGACTAGAGACGAAGATATAACTAAAGAGGTTTCAAAATATTTTGCTAATTGATGTGCTAGTTAAGTGATGACATCCAGAATCTGGTGGTAATGTTGAGGTGCATTTTACAAGATCCAGTATTCGATGAATTCACTAATTATGCTTTGGTCAGGTAAGTAGTTACGTATTTTACACATGTAGGCATTAAAAGTTAAAAGTGAGCAGTTACCATGTTTATTTTTAACTGGGAGTTTTCGTCAGATAAGTTTGAAACTTCAAATCTTGAATAAGTTGGTAGTTAGTTAGGATACTTATTTTTGTAATGTTCTTGTGACCATTTCTAAACATTAGAGAACATACAAGCTCTCTTACGTCCTCGGTAATGCGAGTCAAATGTTGTCCATGTTAGACATATGCAAATTCGCTCATCTGGATATCAGTATAGAAAACGATCTGGTGTGTAGTGTTTATCGTTCGTCTCACTTAAATCTGTCAAACAGGAAACTGCATACTTTTATGATACATATAGAAACCAATACCGATGAGCAACCTCAATTATAGTAAGTTTTTAAAATGTGTTTCTTACCTTCAAGGTGTCAAAGTTACTTTTTGACTTAAGTTACGTTGCTCTTGTTATTAATGCTAAGCATAGACGTGGGTAGTAGCTTTTCCTCAGATAGCTGTACGCGGTCTAATTGAAATGAAATAAAACTACTCAACTAAACGTTACAACCTATAAACTGTTATAGAAAACAAGTACAGCAGTTCACACATATTCTTCTGTTCACCTCGAGAATATTGTTGATAAATCTTTCGTTGAAGCTAATACAATATGATTATCGAGATTTCAACGCTAAAAACTTTAAAATTTATTGTAGCTGCGCAGAACTATCAAATTTTTTTTACATAACTGTAACTTACTTCTTGTCTTTTGTTTCGGTGTGGTATTTTTAGCAATCGTATTTCTAAAAATATCTGATTTCTTATTTTGAACTTCCTTTGGTATATTTTTATGATCTGTAATCAAATTGGTATCACTATCTTAAAAACACGAACTTTGATGATCTGAATACTTTCTACAGGCTTGCACATCGTGCACCGTTTGCAGACTCGGAAACTAGGTGGAAAGATCAGAGAGGAGTTCAGTTTATGACACAACTTCGTGACATAAAAGATATCTAATGACATTTTTGGTTTATTACGACTCCCTCCACTTAGGATCGTAGACTCTGGGTAACTCAGTGGCTGGAATTGTCATCAGAATAGAAGCCACTAGAGGCCCTGGCGTAGTTTCGTTACACTTAATTAAAATAAACTTCTGTTACCAATGGAATCTTGGCTGACTCGTGCCTTTTACTAAATACTATCTGTTTATTGATTCTACCTTTCCTCTTTGTCTCCACAATATTATCGCTTCATCTGTGTGGTGCATTTTCTGTTGACCAGTTGTACCATAATTTACGTGCTTATAATGAAAAAGAATTTACTCCTAGGATGGTAAGATTATTGTCTTACATAAAGTTTGCTTCTTGAAGACTGGTATTTCACACCGAACTGAAAAAATGTGGTTTGTACGACATCTATATAAGCATTATTAACCAAATATATAAACCAAGTTATTTTATTTTGATATTCAGAGAGTAAAATATCTTATCACTGAAGTAAAACATTTCAGTTTTGTTTGTCTTCACATAACTGACCGAAATAAAACCATCTAGGTGTCGAGTTATGATTAATAAATGTTATTGGTTCTTATGCCCCGGTATGGCCGAGAGTGGAGTGGGCCCGCCCTTCCTCTCGAAATGCTCTCACACGGCCACGCGTACATAGCCTCTGCCAGGGAAGTCCTACTCACTGTCTTCTCGTGGCGGGTGTGTTGTTTACGAAAATGAGAGGGCGAAAAGCGAATGTCCGGCGCTTTAACCGGATCCCAAATCAGTGGTGCACATGGGCTGCAGTATCCTGGGGGAACAAATGGCGTATGAACCAATTGTTTGTCACCGGCTACCATGGGACTGCATCTCTTCCCGATGCTCCACTGCCTTGTGGGTCAGACCTTTAGGTCAAAGGCTCGGGGTGTGGCACCCTAAGATAACCCCGGGCAGTATCACAGCTCTCTTGTACCAATATTTATGTGTTCAAATAAATAAATAAATAATTGGTTCTTATGTTTTGTTCTCGTCTTTCTTTCAGCCAGGTGGTCAACGTATTGAACATCATTCCGAAACATTTATACAAATACCTTTTAGATGAAAATTCTAGAGATCATGTCACTGATAGCTCACTCAAAGATCCAGCTTCAGAAAACAAAACAAATGGGATGTCTTCAATTGAAATTTTGATAGCCTTTCTTCACTCACAGCTTAAGTTGGTACGTCTTCTCCTATACACTTTTTTACAACGTCCCCTCATAGTTATTCAGTTGGCTTCTTAAAGTGTTATATATCTACAAGTCTTTTTAATTTAAAATAACGTCCTTTAAGATTATGTCAGTCTCTTATATTCGTATATAAACGACAAGTGCTGAAAAGTAAAGTACTTTCAAAAGTAAAGGATAGAGGATTACTATGTTAATCGTTTTGTATTACGTGGACTAAATAAATTATTCACACAGTATAACATTTCCAGTTTCTTGTAATTACATTTTAGGATGCTCGTAAAGAATCTGAAACTACTAACGATATACGAACTGATGAAAGAATTTGTCCGATTTTGAACTGTCTTACGCGAGCAAGTAAATCAAATCGTCAGATCAGAAAATGTTGTCGCTTAAAGGTGAGCTAAAATTTAAGCCAAGTGATGAATGGATAACTGTTAATTATTTTTAACTTCCTTGATATGCGTTCTTTAAATAAACAATCTGATCAATAAATATTTTTTTAAAATAACTACCTTAAATACTATTATGTTAATGGAAATAGTTGTATTAACCGAATTATAACAATAAATGGCAAAATGGGAGTCATAAACTACTGTTCACTAAGTTTTGTTCCTTCTCCTATCAACCATAAATCATCTGTTTATTTGTGTACATAGATTTCACAACCCAGTACCGTTGATAATTATTACATAAATCTCATATGTATGTGATCGGATACTTTGGATTATTTTTATCAGTTGGGTCGTACACTAATTGTGACTTCTTTCACTGTACATTGAAAATGATTTTAGTTCATTTGAATATGATATGATAAGCGCTTTAATAAGTAAAATGACTCAGTTGCCTTGTTCATTAGTGACCACCGGGGATGTTTAGATGATGAAACATCAGTTCGTTTATAATTCTCTAATATTGTATGGAATGACACTTGAAGTTGTTGTTGGGCAAATGAATTTGACGTCTTAAAAGATGGATCATTTTGTTGATTCATCAAACTACCATTCTACAGAACGTACACGTTGCTTTCATAAATTTGCGTTTGCCGCACTTAAAGTTAATGTAAAATTCCTTAGTTAACATCTGTAAACAGCCTTCTATAAGTTTTTCGATAACTCAGAATCCCTGACAAATATACACAAATCATTGTCAGCATTTAGTTCAAACAAGAAAGCAAGTTGCAGTATTCGTATTTGGAAAATAAATGGCCCAAACGTTTGAATAACGGACATTTCGGTTTTATGTAAAAATTGAAACTAAGTTCAGTCAATCTCACTAAATTTATAGCAATCCACCTTCATCTTTTTCATTTAGGTACTACCTTACCTGGGTAAGGATGTTAAACGCCTACCAGAAGATGGCGATAATATAAGAAATTAGTAAGTATCGAAATGCTTTATTTGTTCTGAATTTGACAGCCATTATTATTTGCACTAGTATTTTAGAAATTTCGGCTTTCAAAGCTTTATGTCTATAAAATGAAATATTCAGCGTGTATTTCGACCCGAACTCTTTTAGTGGTTATTAATCTCCATACGTTTTTATCTGGACATTAACGTGTAGGTTTTTACAAAATAAGGTCTCCGAATAGTGGTATCGATTAGCATGTATACAAACAGAAATGAGTACCGCGTGATAATTCTGAAAAATATGCTAATGATAAACCCAATTATAAGTATAAAAACAAATTTTATCCAATAACGCTTTTTGTTGACCGCACATCGTTTACCAAATGCGCAACATATTTAGCTGCTAATCCCACACTTTAGGTAGGCAAAACCAGTTCATTACCTGCCTAACTGTAGATCAACAAATCAAGTAATCAAATCATTTCAAATTGTGTCAATACGTACGAGCTTATAACACAGTACTATTAATTAAACAAGTAGGTTCATGGAGATGTACTAAATTTTCGTAATACTCAACATGAAAAGAAAAACGAAGTGATATGGTTCGCTTCTATATTTAAAAAATTTATTAACGAAGGTGGGTGCTACACCAAATAATACTGAGGTTTACTTCATTTCTTCTCATAACGAAGAAGCGAACGTATTTTTCGTCCCGAATCCTTACTCATATGACAAACAACAGACTACTCTAAGTGACGTAATACTGAGGCCTATCCTCAAGATATATGTAATGGAAATACATTCTGTATGAAAATACATTCGGAGTTGGTTACTTCATTCCGGTGCGCTAAAATACTGGTGACGATTTATTTTAATTCTGACGTATTCAACGAGAGCCAGTGAGACTAAGTTTTACTTTTTTTAGCCTTTGTAAATTGCTAACACATCCAGTTCAAATTGTCGGTGAATCAGCAGCCTTATTTATCTTTGTACTTTGCAAGGAAAACAGTAAGTAGAATTATTATGTTGTTAGAGTTTTCAATTCAAGAAATTATTATTCAATTTATATATCCTGTAACATTCCTTAACTAGCTATGTGATATGTCCATTCAGATGGTTTTGCTTTAACTTTCAGTGTAGATAACTTTGAAACAGATTTTTGACGCCGGGTACGAAATGTTTAAAGGAACCATGAAAGCTGTTTCACTACTATACCGCTGTGCTTTGAAAGACCAGAATACAAACAACAAGTATATTGCTAACGAAATCAGGATTTTACCTGAAGTTTAGTTAAACACTGTCTTATTCTGCTATATATTCAGAAAATTCACAAAATGGGATTAGTCATGTCGATCTTGGGATTTTTTGCATTATATACTTACGTCTGTTACTCCTTGTGGAGAAACATAAGTCGCCAACAGCATTCGCCATTCAACTCTGTCCTGGGCAGTATGTTCCAGTTGCTATTCATCCTTTTGATGTCCGCTTTTAATTCTCGGAACAATGTATTTTTCGACATTTCTCTTTACCACTTTCCCTTCAGAATTTCAAGTTCGCGCTTGCCTCGTGACTCAATTTGATGACTTCCACAATGTACGTCCTATCTACCTCCAACGTCATTCCTTCAATTTCCTCTTCAGCTCGAAGCTGGTTTGCTCTCGCCCATAGTAGGCTATTGCTGATGGTATCCAGTCAACGGACATTCAGTATCCTACGTAGACAAGTGTTTATAAATGCTTGTACCTTTTTGATGATGGTTGTAGTAGTTCTCCAAATTCCACCCCCATACAATAGAACTGTTTTGACATTCACATTGAAGATTCTGACTTTGATATTGGTTGACAGTTGTTTCGAGTTCCATATGTTTTTCAACCGTGGGAATGCGACTCTTGCTTTGCCGACCCTCGCCTTTACGCCTGGATCAGATCCTCCTTGTTCATCGTTGATGCTGTCCAGATATGTTAAAGTTTTCACCTCTTCCAGAGTTTCTCTACCAAGTGTGATTGCGTGGATGTTCTTCGTGTTGTATTCGAGGATCCTACATTTTCCTTGTGTATGTTGATGCCTACTGATGGAGAGATTGATGCTACCTGCATTTATTAGTGTGTATGGAATAGAAGATCTAGGTGGTCCGCGAAGTCCAAATCGTCTGGTTGCATCCGATCTGTCCATCTTATTCCGTGCTTCCTGTCAGATGTGGAGGTCTTCATAATCCAGTCAACCACCAGAAGAAAGAGAAAGGGAGAGAGTAAGCAGCCTTGTTTGTCTCCGGTCCTCATCTGGAATGTGTCGGTTAGCTGTCCTCCGTGCATCTTTTTGCAGTGTAGTCTGTCGTATGAATTCCAGATGATAATATATTTTCAGTAAGAAGACATTCGATATTAATGAGCGGATAAATAAAATAACTGCAACCAGGGAAAGTAAAGTAACCCAGCGGAGGAAATCCTAATCATGTATTTACTACTATCTGTAAAAGAGTAGGCGGATAATTGTAGGGTTAGAAAGATTTTTTGAGTGGAACCTGAATAATCTTCAGAAATCAAAGTACACTGGGAATTATTGAAAAAGAGAAATATTTCTAGGTCGAACAATTATGTAACTACAATATTTATTATGTACAGATTTCCATCGTGACTGTTTATCCCATCTGTTATATTGTTTTTCTTCAGCCAATCGATTGATATATTTAAATAGTTTATAACAAGATATTCTGGGATTAATTATCAATACTATTTAACTTATTTAGTTGGACGAGCAGTGAAATACACGGGCTTTGGGAATTTCGCTGGATTTTTAGCACGTCATGCTTACTTGGGAAACCATCAAAGGTTAATAGAGAACCTAGTTGTAATGTCGAGTCAGATGGTGAATATTCTGCTACATCGACGGAATCAGAAACGGAAGAATATAAAAAGTTGAAGGAAGATGTGAACCCTGTAACAGGTCGATGGGAAATCCCACAACCCAACCCAATGGAAAACATGTCTGAAGAACAAAAGGAATATCTTGCTATGGACTTGGTACAGAAAATCGACAAACTTGAGAGGTGAGTTACTGTAAACGTGAGATAAACCTTATGAAATAACTTATAAACCCATAGTTCTAAAAACCAAAGACGCTTTTGGGATTGATTTATATCCTAAAATATTGGTCCCATTTTCAGATCTGGATTAATTCAACCAGGAACTATCGGTGAAGATGGTCGAGTGAGGCCTGTAAACATGTACTTGAACTCATTCAGACAAAAGAAGACGATCAAAGTCAGACGAATCTGTAAACTAGGGAAGCATACGTTGAAGAGCTTATGTGTGTGCAATAAGGTTAGTGTATCAAAAACCGAAGTCTGTTTTGGACATCCACCAAAAAAACAACTGAATAATACAGGCCGTTGTGCATTTGATTGTTTTTTGATTTGCTTTGATGACAACCGTTGAATACAAAAATCAAAATTTTAATTTTACAAATGTGCTTCATCTTGATTCTCTTTACATTATAAAAACAGTGGGAAGTTAGAATGTAAAGACGTTAAAAACGCATTGTTTTAAAAAGTTACAACCTGGAGATGGTCAGTTCATAACCTGCTTACACAACCCCTAAAGACAACTTAATTTCTGCAACTGCACGAAGTTCCTTCAATCGATAGTCCGCTGGCAAGCCTAATTTAGTCATACAAACAAGTTGATGCTCTAGATAATTTAACGTGCCTTGTTCCTGATTTTTAATCATTTCATTTGTCGACAAATTTTGCTCGTCGTTCATGTTTTCCAAACAGCTAGCTGCAAGAAAGGCAGAAGTTAAATGTATACAAACGGCAGCCATTTCTGTGCGTACAACTCTAAAATAAAAAAATGTAGATATTTAAAACCACAGGTCCCATCCACTAAAAAAGAGAAACTGAGCAGTTATATCATATTCCTTACCGAAAGAGAAAAGAATTTTAACACTTAGTGCTTGTCAGATATGAAAGTCAATAGTCACTTAAAAATTCAATAATCACTTAATGAAAATGAACGTGACTAAGTGTTTAAATAAGTAGATGTTTATTAAATAAATGAACTATAGGAAGAAGATATTTACTCAATGCGCGAGTCGCTTCAAGTGGTTAATAACATGTAGTAATAATGTATTAATTCGCTGTTGCGGGAAGAATAACTTCTTATGGTATTACGTGTTTCACCAACCACAAATTATTGTGAGTCGGAATATACGCGCAGTAATTGTTTATCTGCTTCCTTGATTTTCCTTGCAATAGTATAAAGGTATCGAATTGAGACGTTAGTAGGCTTTTAATTCGCTACAATTGATCGATTGATAAGTACGGGTAAAAAACAAATCAATTTTGTTCCTTATTGACTACACCAGATAATCAAAGCAAAACGGAATGACATCCAGTTAAGTACAGATAGGCATCTCTTCGACGTGACTTGATATGATTACCTCCCAGGTCAAGTGGGACTACATATAAAATCATGCTATTGACGCAGAACCATGGAACTATTCAGTTTTACAAAGTGGATCAAAAAAATTAAAGTGCCAACATGAAAATGCGCAAATAATTGCAGAGAAATGGTGATGTCTCTCCGCAGATCTAAACACTAATCACAACATACTTTATTACAGTGACAGATCATAGCCTCGCGCTTATATGACAGGAATACGAAAATTTTCAGATCTAGCCATCGCTTAAACAAGAAACACTAAATACTACGGCGTGCCTCAGAAGATAGTCAATATCATACAGAATTCCTATGATGGAATAAACTGCAAAATTGTGCATGGAGGACAATTGACAAACTCGTTCGAGGTAAAGACCGGTGTCAGGCAAGGTTGCTTACTCTCACCCTTCCTCTTTCTCACGGTGACCGACTGGATCATGAAGACGTCAACATCTGAAGGGAAACGCGGGATACAGTGGATACCTAGGATGCAGCTGGGAGATCTAGACCTCGCAGATGATCTGGCCCTCCTATCGCAACAACAAATGCAGGAGAAAACGACCAGTGTAGCAGCAGCCTCAGCAGCAGTAGGTCTCAATATACACAAAGGGAAAAGCAAGATTCTCCGATACAAAATAGCATGCGCCAATCCAGTCACACTTGACGGAGAAGATTTGGCAAATGTAAAAACCTTTACATATTTGGGCAGCATCATTGATGAACACGGTGGATCTGATGCAGATGTGAAAGCGCAGATCGGTAAAGCAAGAGCAGCATATTTACAACCGAAGAACATCTGGAACTCAAAACAACTCTCAACCAACACCAAGGTCAGGATTTTCAATACAAATGTCAAGACAGTTCTACTGTATGGGACGGAAACCTGGAGAACTACGAAAGCCATCATCCAAAAGATACAGGTGAATCTATCTAAAGTATCCCCTATAACTAAGCACTTATTTGACATCTGTGCTGTTCAGGACAAACATTGAACTTTTTAAATTGACCAATTGAGTCAACAAAAATAACAGTAACAGGCAATCTCAACAAAGTTACACTGTGTGAAACCATCATTATAATAATCAAATAACTAACCAATAAAACTGCCTTCTGGGTTAAAGGCCCTCCTTTCAGAAGTACTATGACGCCTCATGATGAAAGCTGATATCCTTCGGAAGTCACGGAGCCGATAGCCCTCCTAACAACCAGAGCAACAATTAACATAGGTACATGGAATGTTCCAAGTATTAATCTCCTGATTTTTCCTTGTCTCTTTTTTTCCTCTTTCCAAATTTATTTCACAAGATTATACTCCTTGAATAACACCAAAACCTAATCTTTCCGATTACTGCTTATACCCTTACTACCTCTACGGGATTTGAATCCACAACTGCATCTCTGTGCTAATATGGTATGGCAACTCGAACTGATGTACATACGTAAGAAGTTCTACGTTGTTACTGACTGACTGAGATCACCACTTGGTTGTGGTCAAGATGAAACTGAAGCTAGCAAAGTAATGAACAACTGGAGAAACAGCATTACAAAGGTTCACTACAACATTCCTTGAACATACTGACAAACCCAACGAACTCAAGATTGCTCTCAACAACAGGTGGAAGCATTACAAGGTTTACTGAAAGAAGAAACTACTATGGAGGACAATTAGAAGGTTCTGAGACGCTAGAAGCATCGTCATAATGAAGGGTAAGAGGTGTAAGTAAGCAACTTGCTACAGCTCCCGGTAGCATTTTTTCTTGCCGGAATTTTTGAAATTATTTGGTTACTCAAAATTGTACTGTAAAAACAAACGAACAATCAAAGAACAGCTTAATAACATCACTAGTTATTGTTTAATTTATTTAAATGACAACTCACTTTTCAATAAATGAATTAATCTTCATTAAATTAATCTCTTCTGTTACACTGGGGACTTTTGATTTTAATTTCGATAGAATCGATGCTAAATTATCTAGTTTAGTTAAATCAGTATCTTCTTTCAATTTTTTCTTGCTAGGACTATACAATACACTATCTAGTAGTGACGATTCTTTGCAAAAATTTGTAAGTTCATCTACTAGGCAAAGTAATTCACCGAAAGATCGATAAACACCAACGCCTTCGAAAAAAAACATAAAATTGTCATGTATGCAATAATTAAGTATTTTTCATTGTAAAGATGGTTACAGGTAAAAAAAAACTACAGATATCTCTATTCAACGTGTTAATTTATTAAAACTGAACCAACTTTACAATCTGCGCTATTCTTTTTTACAAACAATATACATGTGGATTTAAAATGTTACTAAAAGTTATATCTAAGGACGCAGATAGACATTATATATCTTGATGGTATGAATGTTTGGAAACAGATCGATTTTATGAGAAATACTTTTTTAAAACTATTTTCCTTCTACTGACTTGGTCAGTATATCGTACAAACAGTTTCCTAATAAATTTAGTGAGAAAAACAAGTACGATAGTATGATTACGGCGCATAAAATAACTGAAGTTATTACAGAACAATTAGTGAATAAATATTTAATTACTTACCTGAATGAAAATCACTTGGTAAACAATTTTCTGCTAAGGAATTATAGGGCTCAAGTAAGCGAGCAATACGATAACCTAGTGCAGAGTATACTGATTCGAATCTTAGCTGAAAAGCTGAGTAAGGTGAAATATTTGTATGTAAAATAAGCTCCGGTAGTATATACTTTGATAAAACTTCATCTGCAGCTTGAATACGTCCAGCAGCAAACCAATGACTTGCTTCAAGCATTGCAAATATACAAAACTGGCTACGATCTTCTGTAGAGTTTAAAGTACGTTGTTGTGAAACAGTATTGACACCTGTTTTACGCAGGTAGGCTTTTAAGCGATGTCTTGCTAATATAGCCTGAAACGAAATATTTATGGCTGAAAATTTATCTAATTTCTGATGAATAATACTATACTATTATTAATAGGTTTCAATGTTGAAATGCATATACTCAGAATGTATTTAAAATTTACTTATGAAAGGTGGAAATCAAGCGTATATTTCATACAGAAAACAATCACCAATTAGAGATATTTGTTTCAGTTTCTACAAAAATATTTAATATTCCAGGTTTTCCATGGTGGTCTAGCTTCAATTGACTCATGATTTCAACCAGTGAAAACATTTAAGTCAAGTTTGTAATAAAGCTGTGACCTGCTAATAAGATTTTATTCGTTATTATACAGCCACTGTAACATATAACTGTTGAAAATTGCTAACCTTAAAAGACTACAGGAGTTTATGTACACAGCCTAATACAATTGTATGTATATACATCCTGATAAAAGTGGGTCTGAATGATAAAAAGACTTCTACTTGAATATTGGATATGTTAACTATCTCTACACAACCCTTTTCAATTATGGCATACATATCAATTACCATTAATTAAGTAATATAACCTCACTGTTTCTGTGTCCTTAAAGAGTAATTGTCAGCTTATAGCTGTTAGCCTAATTTAACATAATTTCTCTATGGAAGTTTTGGGATTATGATGCAAGGAGCAAATTAAAACAACTGAGGCAGTTGTTTTCGTCGATTTTAACAATTCTTTAATTGGGATCAATTCGCGTAGATGAATATCAATCGCATACAGCATGAATAATATATTCATATCATATTTTAAACATCAAATCTACCTTTGCTTCGTGAATCCAATGTACAGGAACGCCCAAACGATTAACCACAAACGATTCAGGTTTAGTTAACGATGGTGTAGGTAGTAAAGAGATTTTATGCGACATGAAGTCTATATCCGACAAACAAGACGGAGAATTTTTATTGGAATTATTCAAAAGGCCTGAAGGCAAAACTAACGATACATGTCGACCGATGAGACATTTTACAGATGCTTCTCGAGTTTTCTCACAATCTATATGAAGCAGTACAAAAACGGACCATTCCCATAGACCTGCAGCTTCTAACTGTGTGGCGAATTCATTGCAAACACGAGTAGATATTTCAGAAAAGTCTTCATAGAAATCATCGTAAAAATGATGATATCCATAGGATACAAGAAAACGCCATAAATGCCACGACATAGCCCAATCCAAAAGATTGTCACGATCTAAAACACAAGATGATGAATAACGTCGACTGAAGGAACAAGGATCCAATGTTCTTTGTAAAGAATGAAACTGTTTTCGACACAATTGTAGAAGATGATAAGCTGTGTCTCGAGGCCAATCTCGAAATTTGATTTCACGATTAGGACCTATGAATAATCCCACCAATAACAATAAGACATATTTAATAATTAGAAATAGAAGGACCAATTTACAATGCATCTGTGTGAAATTAGAGGTGAACATACCTTCCATCTCTTCACTAATAGGATAGTCCTTGACTGACGAAACAGCAAGATTTGGATTAATAAGTTTGTCAACTGTTGGTGGACTTGGACGTGGTACTCCTTGTTTTGTGTTAGGCTTTTGATCAGAATGCCAAGTATCACTGTACACAGATAAAATCTCACCTAAATTTGCCTGGTAATCACATATACACCATATATGTGCACCGAATGCTTGAATCCAATCAAGTTCAGCAAGTACAGAAATATTTGAAGAATTTGAAGGGTGTGGGAACTCTGTAATTCCAGCTAATAAACAATACACTCGAAGCATATTAATGGGGATATGCTGATCAAACTAAAAATAAATGAAATATATATATATATATATATATATATATATATATATATATATGGAAATTTGTGATGAATATTAACTAAATATTTCGAAGAATATTAGAAAAAACTACTTGTTAAGTTTTTATAAATATTTTCTATGAAAAAATATACCACTTTCAAACAGCAATCTGTACAAATCTCGATAATGGAAAAGTCTTCCTATACAAAGTAAAAGCTAATGGAAATTAAAAAGCTATCAGAATGTGAACAAAACAGTCACTATAATCACGACCATATCCTTTTTTGGAAGAATAGACAGAAAGACAATTTGATTAAAACGATAGGCAAATTACGTTTATTTATTTGAACACACAAATATTGGTACAATGTAGCACTAAATACATATGCGCCACACAAGTCACTTGGTTTCTGTGGGTTATGATACTGCCCTTGTGCCCAAACAGAAGCAGGCGGTCTTCTTACGGGGCCACACCAGGAGCCTTCAACCTAAAGGTCTGATTCACAAAATGGTGGAGCAACGTAAGGAGATGCATTCCTATGGTAGTCAGTGACCAACAATTGGCTCATACTCCATTTGTTCCTTTAGGATTTTGGAGCCCATGTGCACCATTGGTTTAGAATCACGGTTTTCCAACTCCTGTAGGTGAACCCTCTGTATCCAGCAACCCGGTTAAAACGCTGGACATTCGTTATTCATCCTCTCAACTTCGTAAACAACAGTAATGCCGCGAGAAGTTACTGAGTAGGACTTCCCTGGCAGTGGTTGTAGGCACGTGGTCATGTGAGAGCTGACTCTCCTCACTTTCGACCGTACCAGGGCGTTTGGATGCCAAAGAGGGATGATACATCCTAATAGTGATTGTTATGCCCTCGTACTTAGTGCTATGCCTACACCCACCAGTCCACGAAAACCAATCATCTGGTCGCCAGATAAACGGCTTTCCGTTTTGACAGAGTTTGGTCAAGAAAATAACCACACTAGGATCCTGTATGCGTGTTTCGGAAACATAGCATACATCAATGGCACGAGTTTCTAGGGTATTAGCGAAGGACGCCTGTTAGGTGATTTGACATAGGGTGAGTACGTTGAAGGCTCCAAAGTGTAGCTTGGAGCGAGGTTTCAGTAGACCTGGAATAATGTTTCGCGAACTTAAATCGCTGGCCGTGGTGACACTTAAGGAGGAAGTCAAAAGAGGAAATTAAGAGTTGAAAGCCGACCTAAGAGGAATAATAGGAGTCGAAGAGGGAGATTGATTGTGAATACAGTAATCTTGAGTGCTGTTAGAGATGGTCATAGTGACCTCAGTGTCAAACAGAAAACTGCATGAAGCCAGTCAAACACGATCTTTTTGTGAGTAGTTTCCGTGTTAGCTCCGTAGTTGTTGAGACCTTACCGCTGGAGACGGATATCCGTGAGATAAGGCGAGGTGTACATTTTCAGAGTCGACCTTTTCTAACCCCACCCCTCCGTATGGGAAGGCAGCATCGTTGTTATACCGGTTGTCTGAAGGAAAAACCTTACTGCCGCCACACCTCTGTACAGTTAGCAGTACGACTTCGCCCTCAGACCATGGATTTGGTGCTTTTAGTCCTATCGCTCTTCAACCGACCTGTCTGCTCGACCAGCAACGGTCGGGGCTAGTCATTAGTGAGTACAAGATTCTTATAATTACAGCGTTTAGTGAAATTCGATTGGTGAATTAAACTACGAATATTCTACAAAACACTATGCTGATTTTCCATTTATCTTGAACTTATTATTTCTTGATTTTAAAGCATAAAATTAAGACGTTAAAGAATTTATAGTAATATAAACCACAATAGGTACGCCAATGCCCCCCAAAAAATAAACCTACTTTAAACAATGTAGAATTTTAGTAATAATCAAGATAAAAGACGTTGTAAGAGTAATGAAATTAATAAATGGATAATCACTTAATACAATAGTAAGTCAATTTTCGCCACTGCAAACCATTTTGAGATAAAAACGAAAAAAAGGTTATGAGGAATTTAGAATCCCATAGTTTGGGAAGGAAAAAAACGGATACAACTGCGCCATTGTAAACGATTTTGAGCCACTTCATTCAAAATCCTTAACCATTGGTTACGGTAATCACGTGGACCCCAACCAGTTAGTCTACACTGATTAACATGGGCAGGTTCATTCGTCAGTGGATTCATCGACTGATGCCATATTTTGGTTCGGCCTGTCATAGTTTTATCCCAGTCTATTGTTACACCGTCCAGGTAGGCGGTGGTTGGGCATACACGGATATTTCACCAACACCACTAGTGACGCAAGTCGGCAAAAGCCAACCGAACCTTCTGAATTCCGGTGCAGATTTCGTCAGACACTGGACAGTCAGAAATGATGGGATTCCCAAAATAAGTAGCATGGTCAATTCATTCAACTACTTCACTCCGTATCATTAATTATTCAGGCGATGACGCAAGCCAGTCCTGAAATAGCATTCTACATTTGGAGGAAGAGAACTGCATCTCAAATATGTTTGCATTGCAACCTTGACGAACACCACTTGAAGTAACCAAGTCCGACAACATTTCGGCATAAGCTCTGAATCGACCAGTAGTGTTCGAGTAGAGAACCTGTACAAGGCTAATGTACTTCTTCGTCACGCCTTTCAGTGACGGACATTGCCAGAGGAATTTACGATCAACAAAGTCTAAGGTTGCCTTAAGGTCAAGAAATACAACAGTAGTCAGCCGTCAAAAAGGATGTCAGTGTTCCAGAACCGGGCGAAGAGTGAATATTTGCTCCATACATCCACCTCCAGGTTTGAAACCAGCCTCCTTTTCTCGAGTGTGGTCTTCACGAGCTCCAGTCAGATATCGAAGTATGGTTGAGGTTAATATTTTAGACATTATATTAGTTAAACTGATTCCTCTATGATTGATTGTCAAAAGAGGAGTTTTGTCCTTTCTTATAGACTGGGACGATCGGCGATCGAGACGAGTCAGATCAGATCACTTTTAGTGCCGAATTCTAGCTAAAATCTCAGTTGATCTGACTGCTCAAACTGGACCACCATCCTTAAAAATCTCAGGGGTTAGTCCGTCAAACCGTGTTGCCCTTCCTAGCCTTAGATTACTTATAGCTTTTTCAACTTCATTTACATCAATTTGCAATTCAGGTTGCTTGGACATGGTGGGTTACTAAAGGCCAGTTGAACTGTTCCCCAAAGTGTAATGTTTTCAAAATAAGTAACAGAGAAACAAAACATCAATCTTATTGTTTTGAAGATGCAATCGATATCAAATATTTCCAGCCTGAACTATGGGTACACAAGGAAAATATGATTGGCTTTTCACTACCACAGTGATTGCATATATATCAAATAACCCTTTTTAGATTTTCCGTCTTTTGATATTTATCTCTCGAACGTCATCTTATGTTCAAACATTTATTTGTGTTATTTCTTGTTATTTTGTGTGATTACCCGACCACTAATATATTTCATTACCTTTAAACTCTTTTGTCTGGATTAAGATTACTAGTAACTATAAGACCTACTCTGCATTACTACTACTTTCGAACATATAATTGTAGAACATATAGTTCGTTACTTTTAAGGTGAACAACTAACTTTTATCTCATGCCATTTATTCAACTGATGTTGTAAACCACGTCGAACGACTGGATCACCGGCAGTTGACTGTGCTATTAACGAAGCTAAAGCTGGCATGTTGGACACAATGGCCAGACGACACGCAGCACCCGATTCACCTGATACCAAACAAGCAAATATTCCTTGTGCTAAAATATCACTGTCATAATTGTTGGAATTGAGTTTAGATATGGAAAACGCTTCAAACGAATCAGATGCAGTTTCATTCAGACCACTTGCTTCTATTAAACGCAAAGATTCCAATTTGGATTTCAACCAGGGAAATGATTGTGTTCTAATTATTCGTAAAAAAAAGTATAAACAACAAAATAACAGGATAGAAATAAACATATGATGTAAACAATAACGATGGAAAATAAAGATTAAGAAGTGGATATTAAACTATTTATCAAAATAACTATTGAAAAAAATAAGTAAAAGAAAATTCATATTTACTTATGATTACGATGTAACCGATGTAATAAAAATACGTCTACTTGTAACCTTTTCACACACAAATTATTAAACATCGATATATTCGTATATGCATTATTATTATTATTATTATTATTATTATTATTATTATTATTATTATTAGCTTTATTCAATATTATATTTTTGGTACAATATAGAATTCTCAGCGCAAAGTATTTCAACAAGTTTCCGTTTCTTTCTTCTTGGTCGGTCCTGGCGATAAATATTGAGTGATCGCCAGTTACATGTTAGCAGTCCAGTAAATGAACATCTGAATATTGTACATTCTTTTCGTTGTATGTTGCCATCAACCACATTGTCTCTTATTGAGCTTTTTGTAACTTTGACAACGAAAGGTTGTACACTTTTCAGAAATGCACCAGGATAGCTTATGCGGTTAATAGACATAATGATATATTAAAACAAACAAAAATAGATAACTTGTTGAAATGTCTAGATGGCAGGAAACAGGTAGCCCAGATGCTCAAGCAGGCCGCATAATATGAGAAGTTCAATAACCAAAAGATTTTAGTGAACACATGTTATTAATATCAATGAAAAGATTAAATTATGAAATAAACATTATCTGAAAAGTATGCGACAAAATAAGGACAAACAAACCTAATCCATTCTGAAACAGCTTGCTTTCTGGCTAAAGAACGCATACCAGAAATTTCACGAAACATACTGATAGGATAATTCACCAAATTATAATTGCGATAAACTTCATTACTAATGCATTCACCATTATTCCAAAGTTGACTAGTGTCAGTTAAAATAGGAAAATCAGAATTGATTAATTTAGTATTGAAGATTTTATCAGTGGAGCTGTCAGTTTCAGCCATTGCTTCAGCGACAGCTTCTTGTGGATGACGTCCCCAAAGTGCTTGACAAAGACTGAATATTCGTTTAAAACCAGTTAGTCGAGCACTGAGTTTTTCATTTTCAACAGATTCATGAAAATTCACATTGATATTATTTAAAGGATCACAATTCAATATACGTGTATAAGACTCTAAAGCTGTTAAACCAATAATGGGACGCCATAAAGGACAATTATTACATGGTGGTTGTAATGAATTACTAACAGTCTGTATAACTCGCATAGATGTAGTCAAAGCTGAATTAAGCATATCCTAGTATAATTTTAAAAAAAAACATTATTATTACGATTAACATATGAACGACACAACTGATTAACAAGATACCAGGATGGTTACTACATAAACATTAATGATGAAAAAAATTGACCTCATTAAATTTTTTAAAACAGTTGTATGAATAACTTTGAATAACTGTGTTCACATTTCCTCACGGAATTAGTACTTTTACAAAAACAAAATTTTCATATATATACGATTGTACAGCTTGATAATAAATTCGTTGAAAAGAGATCCCTTCGCATCCAACTTTTGAATAACTTTTATCATACCGTTATAAATGTAACTCAGAATGAAATTTATTCTTGTGATGTTTCAGATTCAAAATATGTAATGAACAATTAAAGTACAAACCAATTACATAACACTTGTCTGATTTTATGATTTAAATAAAAACTAAAACATTTGTAAAATCAAGCGTACAGTTGGAAAAGTATATTTGATTATAATTTATATTTAGAAGATAATGGTTATTAAGTAGAGATTGAATGGAAAGTGTATCACAAAAACAAAAATTTAGCTAGAATTTATGGTAAGACGAATGTGAATAGTGACATGAAATGCAGACATTGGACTGCATCCGACAGCGTTAATGTCTAACTTCAACCAAAGCACGAAATTGCACCACTGTCCACCATTGTCTTCAGTGAGTTACTATCTCACAACAGACCAAGTTGAAATCTACAGGTAACTGCTTTTCACTAGAAATCCAGGAAATACCTCTTGAAGGCAGTCAAGAGGTTTAAATCGATCCTAAAACTAAATTCAGCAAAACAAATTTGATCACTATAGGCCATATAGCTAAAGAGTTAATGAACGGCACCCTGCATTAACCAATTGAAAACAACTATAAGAAATTACTTATTTGTAGTATTCAGAAAGTAGTATTCCGGACAGTTGCATATCTAAAGTTAAATATTGAATTTTTTCAAATTGATCTGTTTATCTTTATTTCATATATTCGAACACAGAAAAATTCGTACAGAGATATACTTACTTACACCTGTTACTCCTCGTGGAGAAACATAAGTCGCCAACAGCATTTGCCATTCAACTCTGTCCTGGGCAGTATGTTCCAGTTGCTATTCATCCTTTTGATGTCCGCTTTTAATTCTCGGAACAATGTATTTTTCGACATTTCTCTTTACCACTTTCCCTTCAGAATTTCAAGTTCGCGCTTGCCTCGTGACTCAATTTGATGACTTCCACAATGTACGTCCTATCTACCTCCAACGTCATTCCTTCAATTTCCTCTTCAGCTCGAAGCTGGTTTGCTCTCGCCCATAGTAGGCTATTGCTGATGGTATCCAGTCAACGGACATTCAGTATCCTACGTAGACAAGTGTTTATAAATGCTTGTACCTTTTTGATGATGGTTGTAGTAGTTCTCCAAATTCCACCCCCATACAATAGAACTGTTTTGACATTCACATTGAAGATTCTGACTTTGATATTGGTTGACAGTTGTTTCGAGTTCCATATGTTTTTCAACCGTGGGAATGCGACTCTTGCTTTGCCGACCCTCGCCTTTACGCCTGGATCAGATCCTCCTTGTTCATCGTTGATGCTGTCCAGATATGTTAAAGTTTTCACCTCTTCCAGAGTTTCTCTACCAAGTGTGATTGCGTGGATGTTCTTCGTGTTGTATTCGAGGATCCTACATTTTCCTTGTGTATGTTGATGCCTACTGATGGAGAGATTGATGCTACCTGCATTTATTAGTGTGTATGGAATAGAAGATCTAGGTGGTCCGCGAAGTCCAAATCGTCTGGTTGCATCCGATCTGTCCATCTTATTCCGTGCTTCCTGTCAGATGTGGAGGTCTTCATAATCCAGTCAACCACCAGAAGAAAGAGAAAGGGAGAGAGTAAGCAGCCTTGTTTGTCTCCGGTCCTCATCTGGAATGTGTCGGTTAGCTGTCCTCCGTGCATCTTTTTGCAGTGTAGTCTGTCGTATGAATGCCAGATGTTGTTGGCGATCTTCTTAGGTATACACCATAGTGTCGAGGATGTTTCCATAAGGTCCTCCTATCCACATTGTCAAACGCCTTCTCATAGTCAAGGAAGTTTATGTATAGTGACGAGTTCCATTCGACTGATTGTTCAACGATGATCCATAATGTCGCAATTCGGTCGATGCACTACAGATCCTTACGAGAACTGCCAATTTGCATCTCTCTATTTCCGTAACCATTCGATTGGTTCTCCCGGTCTCTCTCATTGTCCGGACATTCCATGTACCTATGTTAATTGTTGCTCTGGTTGTTAAGAGGGGTATCGGCCTCGTGACTTCCGTAGGATATCAGCTTTCACTATGAGGCATCATAGTTCTTCTGAAAGAAGGTCCTTCAACCCGGGGGGGCAGAGTTTTAGTGGTGTAATTTTTTTTATTCTGGTTAGCTCCCTTTAGCAAGGTTGTTTTCTACGGATGGGTTTGTCGACCCCACGCCATACCCTCCTCCTTTACCCTTGCTTGGCGCCGGCAGTTGCTCTAGAAGAGCTACGGGCGAAGGCAGTGAAATATGAATACGCCACGATGAAAATGAAATTGTGAAGTCACAGGTTTAATCTCCGCTTCCAATACTTCAGTTTAGGCAACTTTATGGTATTAGTAGAACTTATATTTAGAATGTGGCTCATCGATTATTATCTGGTAAATCAAGTGATGATGATTAAAAATTCGGCAACGTGTTCGGACTCATTGGTGACAATTCCATGGGTGTTACTATCTTGAAACACCGACTTCGATTATTTGAACCAGGATTATGAATACAATCTCATATCGCGCATTAAATGACACTTGGTGGAAAAAAAGGAGGTAGTCATATTATGATATGGCATAGGGTTATAAAAGAAATTTGTACAGAACTAACTTCTGTCGATTTATCGCGACTCCTTGGTTGGAGTCCCAAACTTTACGCAACTTTACACGATATGGCCTACAATAAAAGTGACCTTGTTGTTTTACATTTTCTGCGTAAGGGATGAACTTTCTTAACTGGAACGAGTTCTTAGTTGTACTTATAACAGGACTGTCTCCTACTGTGTACTTTTCTTGCTCACTACTTTTCCCTTTCTTTATCTCTTAGATTGCACTCTCTCGCTTTTATTTCTTCACACTGCTATATCTCTATTTTATAGTGCATAAATTTTTAGTGCCCAGTTGTACGAGATTTTATGTCAATCTGCTACAATCAATTTAAACATGGTATCAATATTCACTGGCTCAATTTCATAAATTTTAAGTTTATCAAATAAATAAAGGTGACACATTCAAAATATTGTATTCATTAATTAAAAGGAAAATTACCAAAAACGGGATGAACAATACCAATTAACGTGAAAAACCAAATGTTTCATTAATTCTAACCTCATCAAATAATTCGATCGGTGATGGTAATGTGAAGAATGTAATGGAATTGGTTAGGTCAAAATTCACCTCATCATTGTACTGATTACCACGCGGTGTTGGACAAACTAGTACCATAGAATGGAATTCAGCAAACCGTGAATAACTGAAAGATGGCCGCATACCATGACCATGCCAAAGACCAGCATCCATTATCCAATGTGAAACATGATTTAACAACGTCATATTATCATGATTTGTGCGAGGTTTCAGTGACACTGTATCTACAAATAATAATAATAATACGGTCGAAATTAATGAAAATAATTAGACCGAACTAATACTAAAACGAAACGGCCGTCTAGTGCTTCCAGGTTTTCTATAGTGGTCTAGGTTCGATTGACTCATGAATTCAACCATTAAATTACTATAACATCCACAAAACCCCTCTTTCAATTAAATGTGTCAATAGTGAATGTTATCGATGAGACTGATCGGTAATAGGATATTAAAGAAATGTGGCAAATAAGAGATAAATAACGTGAGATTACTCTAATCTTTTAAAAACAGCATCTACAAAACTAGATTTATTTTTCCTAACATAGGCATGTGATATGGAGTGCCAATTAGAAGTAGTAAAAAGTCAAGCGATGACAACCAGAAGTGACCTAAAGGTCAAGTGCATTTCATTCGGTAGTCCAACACATTCACGCTCATACTTGTGTTCTCGTGCAAGTGGCCATTTGGAGGAGGAGGTTAGAGCGTAGTAGTACACCGTATATCAGTATCAGATTTAGGACACCGTACGCCACAACAGCAAGCAGACTATGTTCTCTGTAAAATTTTCCTTTTTAATTATATATATATCTTCGAAGTTTTTACGTACCAAACACATATTTGTGACCGTTATCATATGGATTGCCGTGATGATCGAGACCTGAAATTTCACAATCAATAGAGATCAACGATGAAATGAGCTCACTCAACTAACACAAAAGGTTCAAGTTATAGAAAAAAATCTGAACTGTAAAACTGCATGTATTGTATTAATAAACACTAAATGTATACACTTACCACATATTTTTGTTATATTTTCATACGGGTACAAATTCATTAAGAAGTTGTTATCATTAATCACATCCAAATTGTTTTTCATCTCCATAATTGACAACTGTAGACTTTGTGGTAGATCATTTCGTTGATCTAATTTATCATCCTCATATAGTGCAATACCATCGTAAGTGGGACACGACGGTAAGGTGCGGAATATTTGGGGGATGTAAAAATCACTCTATGAAGCATCAAAAATAAAACAGAAACAAAATATTAGCGTGAAAGAATAACAACAAAAATAGGTTAGCTTATTACCAAGTACAGTTCTACGCACTTTGAGCCACAATGTTAGTGTTGGGTAAAATGATACTCCATCCGGTTACCCAGACAGGAGTGGGGATTTCAAATTTCCAATCTATATGTTGAAATCGAAGTACTCAAAATATTCACGTAACGCTCCAGTGTAAAAAGCAACTAAAACTTCTCCAGAACTACAGAATCGTTGTAAACAAATCAATTCACGAATCGACTAATTTTTGGAAAAAAATGGTTTGTTACAAATAGTGAATCGGAATACGAAATTACCGAAAACTATTAATTGTGTTGAGGAAACTAAAATTACTATCAACGAACTAAATTTATAGCTAAGGACTAAAATAAACTTTTTAATGTGATTTAATCAGACCATTATTCATTAAAAATAAAGTTTATCAATACAAATTAGAGTACTTGACAAATTTACAACCATGTAATACCTTCTTATGAGATGTAAGTTTTTGACTACAGTGAGAAAGGATACTGCGTTTACAATTGAACACAAAAAATTAATGAAACTAACAATTTTGCAGTCTAATTCAGCAGTATATAGTAATCATATAACTTCCAATAACTTACTTGCTGCTCGAATTGAGGATCAATAACCTTCATACTCATGTATGGTTTTAATTGGAAATCCTTGAGTGTTCCTTGGTCTGAATCAAAAGCTCCAAGTTTCTAATAGCAATAAATGAAGAAGAGTAGAAGACGCTTCGATTTATAAAGATCACACATATAACTTAAGATTGCGTTATTTTATTTTTTTAGTCTTGCATTTCTTATTTTTCTTTAATCTTTGCCGTAGTCTGATATGCTTTTTATTGGTTTTTTATTCTACTAATATGCGATGCTGGTCATCATACGAATAGATTGGAAAAATGGTATTGACGATCAAACCATGAGGTTACTTATCACTAGTTGGAGTGGCATCGAAGACTAAAGGCAATGTAATTCGGATATAAAAATTACCATAAGCCGTGATTGGACATATTTGAGTCCCAACATTATTTCGCTTTTTATTGTAAGGCAATATTTGGAATTGGTCGACAGGAAACTATGGGACAAAGTCCCGTGCTATTTGGCATTCGTCAACAATGTACATCTGTAGTTATTATTTATTATCTATTTGAACACATAAAAATTTGTACAAAGGAGCACCAAATACATATGCGCCACACAAGTCACTTGATTTGTGTGTGGGCTATGATACTGCCCGGATGCCCAAACAAAAGTAGGGAGGGAACTGATACTCCCTGGAGTCACAATTAGAGACGCTACTAGCGAGATATTCGAGGCGCTACTGACCTCCTGTAGGACTGGGGTCGAGCTTGATCGGTAAGATCCAATCAACACTAAGAAGAACTTGATATATATAACAATGGTCACTACTCAGTGATTAATCAATTGTAAATAATTTCAATTCTTTCTTTTAAGCTACATACTTACAGTGACTCCTTTGCTTTTTACCAAGTTAATTTTGTTTCACCTTGCTGATGTGAAGTTTGGTAAGTGGATTTGATACAACAGTGTGCCTTGTCTGTGTGTGAATGGCCTCGGTTAAGAGGAACCAACATTATGTTACAAGGTGTGGTAAGGTGAAACAGTCAGCAATGTAAACAGAACACGAATGTGACTATCCAGATATATGATATCATGCCTAAATATTAATTTTATTACCTCACTTGCACAAACTATGCATTATAATTTTTAAGTAAATCCCCAACACAGGAAGTTTATTCAGTACTGTTAATTTGTTAAGTGTGACTTTGAAAGCCTTGATTTACTATGACATGTAGTTACTTAGTAACTAAACGATGCGTACTAATAAATTTTATCACTATAGATACTCTCACCCTAAAGTAAATCAGACAAACAAAACAATTTAAAATATAACAATGCATTCTCACTAAACCCTAGATTTATTAAGCCATGAAAACTAATGGATGGGAATGGAACCACCGTATTTCGTTCCTGCATTTAGTGCGTATTTAATGTATAGCGAATCCGTTAACACTCAGTGAAATCGACACTAACACCGAACTGGTTACATTGCGATAGGTAGTTGACAAAAGTTCGTGTATTCATTGTTTATTCCGAATGTTTGTTGGTTTTATTTGTGACAAATTACATCAACAGATAGACAGAAAATCGACAAAATGAACGGACTTAAAACCTGGTCAGTCAGCTACAACGTAGGACCAGGCACATATATGCATTGGTCCAAGCCGCCATACCTCATTAGCACAACAAGATGAACACCAACTTCATAGTATTTACTTCAATGGTAGTAATATATAAAAGAAAGATTGTGTATAAGGATATAATACAAGTACAAAGAATTAGAAAGAAAGGTATAAAGTAATTTTAATCTCACTTAAAACTACTAACCAATGACGTGAATATAGTCAAGGGAAAACAAACGGGGTTTCCGGTCGACTACTACAGACCACCTAATAAGATATCATAAAAATAGTGATTTATGAGGATAAGGAATTAACCGAGTAACAAATACGTATATAGTATGAAAATTCATTAATATTTACCTCATTTCTATGAATGATATTGAATGCATCATCATTGATTGATTGATCACTATCGAATAGACATTTTGCTTTGAAATCAGCCACTTTCGAAACATTTTGTGATTTGTTCAGTGAGTCTGAATCACAATTTTTACCTTCAGCTTCACCATCTGAATCATCTAACCGATACTTGGAAAAATGTTTGACCTCAAAAACCCAAGAACCAGACTCTGGTCGATATTCAATGAATCTAGATCCGTTAGAATAATATAATATGATGAAATAGTTAGTAAAATGAGAAACTAAAGTGTAGATTACAATTAAACATTTATCGCATAACTCAAGAATACCTGGCATCCATTCTTCTAGTAGCCTTCTCCAGACGTTCTTCAAAATGCATTAAAGCTAGTCGTTCAGGCGATTTGATCGGTTCTCTTGTAGATTTATCTGTAGGCCAAATAGACTCCAAACAAACTTCGGCTCGTTTATTCAAACTAGTACCAACAGGAGGTTTCTTTTCATCATCCGGATAAACAACAACTTCACGTCGACGAATATGAACAATATTATCCAAATTAAGTCCATAAACATCAGTAAACCCCGGAAATAGTATATGTCCATAAAGCTGAATTTTAAGAGTACATACACGAATAAGTAAAACATCGATATAACAGTATGACAATGCGAATAGTAATACAAAGTCAAATGTTAAAGTGGAGATGTGGCTTAGTAATTAAGGCATTCGACTGTCAACCACTAAGTCATAGGTTTGACTACCACTACACCTAGTTCGGTTCTGGAAACTGAATAGTACTATTAGTCCTCACACATAAAGCGTGAGTGAAAGTCCACTACACATATCTGTACTCAGTAATCAAGTCACATCATCATCAAAAATTAAAAACGGACTGATTAAAATGAGCAATCTCAGACAAAATGGCATGGGTTCAAGTTGCTATACAATACAGAAAACAAGACAAAAATACGAATATACTGAAATGAATTATGAAGAAATGGTTTTAGAATAGAAAATTACTAAGGATTAAGATGTGACTACAAATGTAAAATGATGCTCAATTCTCGACATGTCATCTAGGATTAAACAGCTGCTAGCCTAATAAAATGTCACCGTGTATTGGTTTGACCACTTATAACTTTTTCCAAAACTGGTATTATCAACCAACAAAATATATCAGGGTGAATGTTGGCTTCATTGATACAACAAACAAATGGACCAGTACACCTTGTATGTATAAGATTTTGCATCTCTACACTATTTAACTGGTGGTACTATTGTAGATTGTGCTACGCAGACGGAAAGATATAAGTTGTATGTAAATAAAAATAATATATTTGTAATATCCCAATGAGTAGAAAATTGGATTTTTCTGACGTTTATTTTTATTATTTATTTATTTGAACACATAAATATTGGTACAAGAGAGCGCCAATATATATGCGCCACACAAAACAATGAAAATTCGAAGAGAAATAGAAAGAAAAAAAAACTAGGGAACGCAAAAGAAAAAGAGAACAATGACGAAGAGATTGGAGTAAGGTAGTGTGGTAGTAACGACGGAACGAAAAGGTACAATCAGAAGAAATCTTTCAGGTAAAGGAGACACAACCACTTTTTAGAAAGAAAGTAAAAGAAGGTTACAGCAGGATCGCCACTGGCTTCTATTCTGAGCCATATCTGATAACGTCTCTAGCCACTGTGTAGCACCATCTCTCGGACCCCAACCAGGGAGTCGTGAAGGACCAACACAAGCCAGTCCTTTGCAGCTTTCTTTCATGCCACGACACCATGTCATGCACTGACCACCTCTCCGCCTCTTCCAACCAGTCCCAGAGTCGGCAAATAATGCACGACGTGGAATTCTCTGGGACGACATTCGGAGAACATGTCCAAGCCACCGAAGTCGGTGTTTCAAGATGGTGACACCAATTGAGTTATCATCTCTGTGCCCGAACACACGATGCCGAACCTCTGCATTACTGACATGGTGTTGCCACTGAATGTCAGCAATCCTTCGGAGACAGCGATGATCGAACACAGAGAGTCGTCTAACGTCCTCAACTCGGAGAGGCCAGGTTTCACAAGCATAGAGCAAAACTGCTCTCACCGACGCGTTGTAGATCCGACCTTTTACAGCCAGACTAACATCACGAAGGCGCCAAAGGTGGCCCAGATTGGCATAAGCCGCTCTGGCTTTCACTATTCGTGCATTGATCTCATCACTCACACCCCCACCAGCACTTATGCAGCTACCCAGATACACGAACTTCTCAACTACGTCTATCTGCTCACCGTCCAGGGTGAGTACAGGATTAGAATCCTGCCAGTCTTGTAGAAGTACTTTGCACTTCGAAGGTGCAAAGCACATACCATACCTACGGACACTGATTGCCAACTGATTAAGTGCGGATTGCATGCCTTGGGCATTATCGCACAGTAAGACAATATCGTCCGCATACTCAAGGTCGAGAAGTCTTTCTCCAGGCAACAGATCCACACCACCATTACTTACATTCATCAGAGCTGTTTCCAGAATGTCATCGATGGCAAAGTTGAAGAGGAATGGTGAGATTGGGCAACCCTGCCTAACCCCACTGCTCGAATGGAACAATGGAGAGAGGTGGTTGTATGCCCTCACTCTGCCTGAGGTGTTTTTATATAGGGCTTTTAGGATGTTAATAAACTTCTCAGGCACACCCTTCTTCAATAGACAATCCCAGAGAACAGTCCTGTCCAACGAATCGAAGGCAGCCCTGATGTCAAGAAACACTACGATTGTTGGCCTTTGAAAAGTATGGCGGTGTTCTAACATTTGGCGGAGGGTGAAGATATGATCAATACATCCTCGACCAGAACGAAACCCAGCCTGCTCCTCGCGAGTCAATCTTTCTCGGGTTTTGAACAACCTACGAAGAATGACGGAAGCCAATAGCTTGGACGCAATCGGAAGTAAACTTATCCCCCGATAGTTGTTACAGGAACGACGTGAACCCTTTTTAAAGATAGGGACAACTATCGACTCATTCCATGACGTTGGTACACTCTCTAGTTCCCAAACCTTTGTAAACAACGTCGTCAATTCCTTAGTCAAAAAGTCACCACCATCTTTAAAAAGAGCCGGAGGTAAGTCATCTGGGCCAGGTGATTTGTAACGCTTCAAGAGTTGGAGTTCCTTGCGGACTTCCTCCTCATTTGGTGGATCAGTCGTCACCGGCCATGGAGGGCAGGACAGTCTGACCGATGTTGCCGGAGCAGCAGGCCAGTTGAACTGCCCTTCGAAAAATTCTGCCCATCGTCCAAGACGTCGATGGATGTTAGTGATTGGCATCCCATCATCCTCGCAGATTGTTTCACTCACACCAGACTTCTTGCTGCCAGTGGCTCGGATGAGCTGGAAGAGCTTCCGGTAGTTACCAGATGCAGCTGCTGCTTCCAGCTCATTAGCACGCATCGACCACCAGGCTTCTCGGTCCTTACGCAAGCTTTGCCCAATCTCCTTACGTAACATCCTTCGTTTATGGTCAAACTCACGGTCACCCGGAGTAGACCGACGGGCTTCAATGAGTTGTAAGGAACCAGAAGAAACCCAGTGCTTAAAGGCGGGACGTTTCGCAAACCCACAACTGACTGTTCCCGCCATTTTCATGGCGTCATGCAATTGCAACCAATGCTCATCTATACTTTTCGGTGGAGTGGTAGCTAGCCTAGAGGCTAGCTCGGTTCGATACTTACTTGCAACAGAAGTTGCAACCAGCTTGCTAACATCAATCCGTTGATGGCGTTCACTTCGTTGTCCACTGAAAAGTAAGGTAAGATTGGCGCAGACCAAGGCATGGTCAGAGTCCAGATAGGTACTCCAAAAGGAGCGGCAGTCTTGTACACAACCACGCCAGCGGTAGCTGATCGCGATGTGATCAATCTGAGTCCAGGCTTGAGATGCAGAGGGAGGACGCCAGGTGGCACATCGGCGATGACTGTGCCGAAAGTTAGTGCTAGCCAGAAACAGGTTGTGGTCTGTGCAAAGTTGCAGTAGACGGTCCCCGTTATCTGACCTGCGACCAACGAGTCCCCATCGGCCACCTAAACGACTCTCTTCTGTGCCTAGACGCCCGACCTGAGCATTCAAGTCTCCGGCTAGTACTACAATATCTGTCGAACGCACTTTCTGGAGAAGAACTGATAACTGGTGGTAAAACTCATCCTTGATTGCATCCGGGCTGCAATCTGTCGGGGCATAGGCGGAGATGACGAAAAGACATCGTTTCTCACGCCGATTTCTTCTCACTTTGATGGAACTTTCTAATCTAACAGCACATAACCGACTGTTAATGGGGATCCAATCGACTAGTGCTGCCTCAGCTCTAGCGCTTAGTGCGACACCAACGCCAGCAAGACCAGACGAAGATGCCACAGGGTCCCCGGATAAGCGCACGTAAAACAAGCTTTTCGAAGCGACAGATGGAGATCGAATTTGTAGTACTTCGCCAGAGTCTTGAATACGGGTCTCGGATAGACAACACACGTCGATATTAAGACTTTCCAAAGACATAGCCAGCCCTATCTGTTGTCCGACCTGCATAAATGTGCGAACGTTGAAGGCAGCCAGTTTGAATGGTGCACGTGGTTTCAGAAAATCTGCTTCAGTCCTCGTATTCGGTGGTAACATACAATTTTCAACCGGACAGTGACTCGAGAACGTATAGATACAGTCGGATTTCCGCCAAAGACGAGCCGCTGTATAAGTATAAAAGAGGGTGAATAATGTGGAAAATAATAATAATAATGATAATAATAACAATAATGACAATAATACTAGTAATAATAATAACAGTATTAATAATGACAATAATTGTAATGATAATAATCTGAATCAATTGTTTGTTTTTCAAAGCAAGAAAGGTAATTTCCGTAGGCATAAAGAGTTCATCAATTTGTGTGTGGGCTGTGATACTGCCCGGGTGCCCAAACCGAAGCAGGTGGTTATCTTAGGGGGCCACTCCCCGAGCCTTTGACCTAAAGGTCTAACCCACAAGGCAGTGGAGCATCGTAAGGAGATGCAGTCCCATGGTAGCCGGTGACCAACGATTGGTTCATACGCCATTCGTTCCCGCAGGATACTGGAGCCCATGTGCACCATTGATTTGGAATCCGGTTAAAGCGCCGGACATTCGCTTTTCGTCCTCTCATTTTCGTAGACAACACCCCCGCCACGAGAAGGCAATGAGTAGGACTTCCCTGGCAGAGGCTGTATACGCGTGGCCGTGTGAGAGTATTTCGAGAGGGAGAGCGGACTCTCCCCACTCTCGGCCGTACCAGGGCATTCAGGGGGGTGTAAGTCACTTCTTCAGAGAATAAATAACCAAATTAAATTAATCCAAGTTTAAATAGTACAACAAGAAGTGACTTACACTAAGCCACGAAACGTCAGAAAAATCCAATTTTCTACTCATTGGGATATTACAAATATATTATTTCTATTTATAACAATCAACCCAATGCTCAATTTATTCGAAATTATCAAATCAAACCTTGGTAATGACACCTATAAGTTATATGTATCAAGATCTGGAAGTAGGATCCTTACTGAAAGAAGAGGAAGAAAAACAGAAGTCGGGGTTGCAACAAGAATGGAAGAACGATTAAGTTTGTAAGAGACATTTCGAGGAAGATGTGCAAGTGGTGTATTCAACGTATAGTTTTCATATTTAAAAAATGCGGTGTGTGATTTTGCATAATACAATAAATTAATTTATCCCACCCAAGTACTCGTTTATTACACTATCATAGAGGCAAACAAAGTTGAGAAGATTCCTATAATGCATCCACTTATTAAAGCCCAAAAATTTAATGTATCAGTTTAAATCACTACAAAAGTTTATAGTGACATGCTAGTCAAAGTAAGCCGTGATCGGGGAGAGTGAGGAGGCAGACATATTTGTCTACACTGAAACCACACTAAACATGTTCATCAGTTCAAGTTGGCATACCATATATGCACAACGAGATGAAATTATTAGGACAAATGGCAGAGTTGTATAAACATAAACAGTACCAATGTTAGTAGAAAAATATTAGGGATGGACAATATAATACGACACAGAATTCTTTGAATAAAAAGGTACAAGATAGTCCTAAAACTTATGATCTAAGTGAAAACAAAAAGTGAACACATCCGCGCAATTGCGGACTATTGGAAGTAATATTACATAACGTCTCCAACCACCGGTTATGATGATCTTGCAGACTCCGACCTGCTAGTTTGTACCCATCAACACGGTTCAATTCAACTGTCAATGAGTTCATGGAATGATGTCAGGTTTTGGATTTGACGCCCTTTAGATAAATTAATATTCCGCAAGTCATATTTCATTTTTAGCTGGACAAAGAAAAATCATAGGTAAAAAATAAATTAAAAACGGCTACGGAACAAAACAAAAAAACGAACTTACACGACGACCAATTACAAAGTCTTCTACTAAGCATTTTTCATCAATTACCATTTCAGATAATTCATCTAACGTAGGTAAAGTATAATAACCAGGTTTTGTTAAGATTACACCAGAAGCATTCAATGTAGTGATGGTATTAGGTTTACAATAGCTTAGTTGATCCCAATCTGATGTATCACCATCACCATGTACTTGTTCTGAATTAGGTGATCTGAGTATAGAAATATCATCATAAGTAATATTTGATGGACTGGACAATATAGAATCAGTGTTATTTTCATGTATACTTCCTTGTAAATTATCACGTACTCGTATTGTATTATCAATTTTATTCTGTTGAAGAATATGATTATTCAGTGGAGAATTAATAGTTTTTCTATTGATATTATTATTTAATAAATTTCTCGATGATTCACTTGTTGTAACAGGAGTCAACTAATTTTTTTCAGAAAAATAAAGAGAAAATACGATTAAAATAAAATTTACACAATTATTAAGTATTTGATGTATTACTTTTTTATTTTTTTAAATACAAACACGAATTGATATATGTAAACCTTTAGAAATACAACAATTCCAAGTGCGCAGTCAACGATAACTATATAATTTTAATGTGGTATTATTTGAGAATTGAAATGTTTAAATTAGAAGGCTTCGTTTATTGACCAATCATATTAGAAATATGATGATAACAATTACACACTGTAGGTATGAGTAGTTCCATAAAGGTAATGATAATTAACAGAACATGATTCTGATTCATTCTTGTATTGTTCGTTTGAATTTTCTCATTGATGTTTGGGACTGTAATTGATCAGTCTCTTATCATAATACGTCCATCCTGTGCGGATTGCCTCGATATTGCTACCTTGACGTAGTGGTCGGGCTTGTCTATCGCAATGAACCGACCGAGCTATACTGGCTGGAACAATCATTCTCAACGTCCTACCATGCCAGACAGGTCGGCTGAAGAGCGGTAAGACTAAAAGCACCAAATCCATGGTCTGAGGGCGAAGTCGTACTGCTAACTGTACAGAGGTGTGGTGGCAGTAAGGTTTTTCCTTCAGACAACCGGCATAACAGCGATGCTGCCTTCCCACACGGAAGGGTGGAGTTAGAAAAGGCCGACCCTGAAAATGCACACCTCGCCTTATCCCACGGATATCCGTTTCCAGCGGTAAGCTCTCAACAACTACGGAGCTAACACGGAAATTACTCACAAAAAAATCGTGTTTGACTGGCTTCATGCAGTTTTCTGTTTGACACTGAGGTCCCTGTGACCACCTCTAACCCAATTTCCTTTTCCGGTACCTCTAGAAGAACTCTTCCACAGTGTGGGCGACCGGGAAGTGATAACCGCCCTCATACCTCTAACAGAGCTCAAGACAAGCATTATGAGCAAAGATGGATGGTGGCTAGCAGTGCAACCCAGGAGGCGCTTAAAATGAAATAAGATTGTTCACGATCGACTCTAAATTGTATGAACTAATAACTTATTTATGTCATATTATATAATTATCGTCTTCTTTATTCAATCGATCATTATCAACATAGGATTAATATTATGTCGCGATCTTCCTACTTAAAACTTTGTTTCAACCTACTATATTAACCCGCATTGCATATTAGGGTATAGGACATGTTTATTTAAACACGTAAATATTCGTAGAAAGGGGCATCATTATATATATGCCACATAATAAAATGAGGCTGTGAAGAGACAGAGAAGTGATTAGATATAAGTGACATATATCCTAACTACTTTAGTTGACGAAGGTTCGTAGCCTCATCAATGGACATATTCACTTCCCATAGTAAACTGTGCTTAACCTAAAAAAAAGTACTTTGGTCCAATCATACTCGAGTAATCTTGTTGTTATATCCTAATAAAGAATAAATGAATGGCAACTGCTAGGAATTATTCGTGGACCATTATAACATATATTCTTATTGGATAACTATTAAGTAACTACATTGTATGCATACTCATATTCCTTTTACTATAGGCTTCGATTTGACCTGTTGGCTACTATTATACGACTTACTATTCTTAAGTTACCCCAATGTATCAGCTACAGTCTCTCACATTCAGCCACTTTTGGCTTGATCTTTTATAATTGTTATCTATTTTATGGTATGATGCGTTCTGAATTACATGTATATAAACTTCGTATGTCTGAAATTCATGATGCATACAGTGGAGGCTGAGACTGCTTGCTGAACTCAACAGACAGGTCTAGATGAGAAGTATAAATAAGGACTCAGAGTTGACTCTTGACTGTTCGTATTGGTTTATGCGTCATTTTTTTGGCACAGTACTGAGGTTATGTAAGTCAGTGTCCTATTGGCGGTTTAGTCACTTGATAGTTAACAGGGCAGAAGAACACAACACTCATCATACTTTATTGGGGCATAATTATTAAGTATTAGATAAAACTTACTTTCTTATCCAAGGTACTACTAACAACAGATTGATCTGGTGACGAGAAATTAGATTTATTTACTTCTTTCAGTGAAATATCACCAGAGGGAGCAGAGATTTGTTTATTTGATGTATTAGTATTTACTGTCAAATCAGAATGTACTGTATTATTATCTAAAGATGATTCAGCCAATTGATTTAATTCATTTGTTATAGCATTTGACCGTTCCAATATTGAATTTCTTACATTTTCAGGAAGATGTAAATGTTTCCATTCTCCTCGTTTAACAAAGAAATTAGTGTTATTATTATTATTTACAGGGCTTAAAACGGCCGTCGGTCCTAATGAAGCGGTACGTCGAAGACCTGATGACAAAGGAGAATTGTGATTACTAGTTAAAGCATCTTCTTCATAGAAACCTGAAAACAACTGATAAAAGTAAAAGAAAGAGACAATGACTTTATGAAATGAATATATTGAGTACGCTTATTCAAAAAGTATTTAGTTAATAATAAGCATATTGGTTGAGTCAATATAATTATGATATTATTGTTTGAAATGAACATGAAAAGTAAACGATTATCCAATCACTAATCTATCTACAGGAAGGAAAATATACGAGCATTCTACAGTGATCTACACATTAACCTGTTAACTAGTATGTTGGTCACAATTATTACCTATCAATTAAGGATGACGAAATTTTGTTTAGATGGAATCAGGAAAAACCATACCCCTATTGAATCAGTCAACTATTCAGACAACCAACAAGTGTGCAATAGGGCAATATAAATTTTGTGACAGTGTGCAAATAATAAATATTAAGAGATTTGTGGTAACTGAATTCCCAATAATTTAAAAACAAAATAAAAGAAAGAAAATTTATCATGAGAATGATTGTGAAGGACTACGAGCCGATTGTAGATACTAAACAGATAAACAGAATCACTTATGTACTTTTTTAATGATAAAAAGTATTAAATTTGTGACGTGATTTGGATTTTGATACAATTAGTTGAAGAAGTCTTAAGGAAATTTAGCCTTTGTGTATTTTTAAGACATTTCTTTAAAATATCAAGCCTATAATTATCTGCTATTCCCTATAGGCTGCTGATTAACTTGAAACTCAGTTTGACTAGATATTTAATGGGAATGCTGGACACAGTCAAATTTCTGAAGTCTTTGTCTAATTTGCTCGGTTGATGACGCCAAGTTGGTGATATGAAAATCTCTGACTTCATCAGTATTGCAATCCGTCGAATTATTAGATAAAAACAATAAAAAGACATTTCTCAGATAACTAGAATTTCGAAAAAAATAACGAAAGGTGTAACTACATTTTTTAGGTTTAAGGTCAGTTTACCAGGTTTCGACTTTAAAAACTTTAAATCACAAGACATTAGCTAGGCAGATTAACTGACTGAAACAAAGTTTCATCATGCTAAGTGTTTCGAATATTGGTAAACAATCCGACAGCCTGAAACGAAGTACACTCATTAGTAGGTTGTCAGCTGACTGAAGTGAACTACTAAGAAGATATGTCGAGACCTCATTTTAACCACTCCTTTTGTAAACGTTTAAGCAGACGAAGAACCAATAGACTACCTTATTTCTCATCATTTGGTACCATTATCAGAGTAAAAAATGTAACTCATTTAACCAGTAAAGTCTTGGGCATACAATTTTAAGCCACACCACCCAGAATGAAACAATGAAGTAGCTGAAGTGGAGTTTAAACGACGAGCCGAGTAAGTGAAACTTGAATGCTTTAACCAATAAACCAACGTTCAACTATCATCTCAGCAAGCACTAATTTAACGATTCAGACATTTCTTAGGGTCACTAATTAGGAATTCAAATTTAATTTATCGTGGAATTATGCACAATCAGTAAATAAACTTGTATTTATTTACTGTATATTGCTTTTGCAATAACGAATTCCAGATTATCTAATGCATATAAAATACTGTCAAACTTTGCCGGTAAACTCTATTTACCTTGTTGCGATTCGCTACCTGCAGGAGACGAGTATTAGAATTAGCAGGACGACGAAAACCAGAAACACGACTACTATTCAAACCAGAACTGGTTGGACTAGATCCAACTAAGAGTCCTGCAGCTCTATTACGCTCAGCAAACATCGTGGCCACATATTTAGCTGGTACAATAACACTTCCAGAAGTAGAAGTGTTGGGTGTTATAGCTCCAGGAACTTGGGCTTTTGAACCTGCATTAGAAGCAGGATTTGTGGGTAAGTTTAAGTAACGAAATAGTGAAGATTGACCATATGGCATACTACGAACAACTTCTAGAACTTGTTGTTGAGCTTTTATAGACTGAGCAACTTGATCACTGGAACCCAGGCCGAAAGCAGAACCTGTTGCATTGATCTAGGAAACAATATTCAGAAAGTGCATAAAACAGAAAATTAAGAAGAGTGAAAGTCAAGAATGAATATGAGAATCATATCAGTATAAATTTTAAAAAGTGCATAAAATGGCTGACAGCGATCTCTTCGCAAAATAATATAAATATAATGTGTACATTGGAAATCGAAAATTAAGAAACATGTAAGACCTCAAGAATTTAGCTAACTTCACAGTAAACGTTTTTAGCTGTTACTAAGAACGAGCAGAAAATTTCCGCCAAAACCCAGTTAAAACGTTATTATTACATTTTAGAAGAGAAATGATTGACTTACAGTTAGAATACAGTAAGCATAAAACTATATGGAACATTAACAAGTTGGTCATCAGATATACATAGTTTGTGACGGTTAGAGAAATCGAAATAGGTTAGGACCTTGGACATGATATTTGAAGGTTATACACACAAACTACAGAATCACAAGTCTGATTAGATGGATAACTAGAGACTGTATGTCCAGATTTAATACAACTTGATATTAAATTGTATATAAATACGAGCATCATATTTCATACCGCATTTTGATATGCTTGTATGTAAGGAAATTTCACTAAGACTTATATATGAATTATAACGTTATAATGACTCTTGTCTAGTCAAATTACATTAATGATGTTCTGATAGATAAAGATGTCACACATCATCATAACCAAGTTGGAGAGTTCAAAGTGACACTAATAATTAATAAAATAATTGTCAGACAATCGACAAATGGATGTTGTGGCTCAACTTTTAAAAGCGAAAATTCCATCTACCAATTTTAATGTACAAATACTGAAAAAATAATGTTAATATCATAACATACAACATGAGTTGGATCTCATTCTGTCAAAAATATCCACCGAAACGTAAGATCAACAATAAATAGAATTTACGGTAGACAAGATGAAACAGATTTTTAACATCGCACAATTATACGATAACTTAAGCTACACGTAATCACATAATTAGTGGTCAATTGCATTGAATGAATTTTAAATGAATTAATGTCGTCTAGAACTATATTTCTAAAAAGAATCCAGTATCAAAGGCAACACTGAAGGATTACATTTCTGCACTTTATGCCGTACTATTCACCGTATTCATAGATAATCAAGAATTAATTTCACTAGTACCCCAGAGACAAGTACATTTTACCGTATGACGATAATAAATTAAACGATAATTTCCAAGGAAAAACAAAAAACTCAACTTACAGTGCCAAATCCAGTTAATGACGAGCCAATGGGTTGAACTCCAGTAGAGCCTAAACCTTGAGTACCAACATTAGTGCCAAAAAGACTATTTCCCAAACTTCCAATAGTTGGTGCCGTACTTGCTCCCAAACCAAAGCCACCACCAAATGCACTACCTGCAGGAACGTTCTGCAATGGCTTTTGGCCAAGACCAAAACCTGTACTAGTTTGACCAAACAAAGGTCCTGAAGTAGCCCCAGTTCCTAAACTGAAGCCTGTAGCTGCGGCTGGTGCACCGAACAAACTAGTTCCAGTATTAGGTTGATTAAAACCGAACGATCCAATGCCAGTAGCATTAGCTGTTCCAAAACCGAAAGGCTTTTTAGCTGTTAGGCTACTAGTAGCAGGTTGACCAAATAGTGTTGTTCCAGCTGAAGACGTTGTGCCAAGATTACCAAACGCGGTGGGTTGATTATTTAAACCAGTCCCAAAACCAAAACCAGTGGACGTACCTGGTGAACATTTAAAATATTTAAAAAGACCCTAATGACAGATACATGTTATCTTTTCAACAGGTAAACAAGTGTGGACAAAAACATCCTAGGTATCATTCTCAATTTTTGACGAAAATAATTAAAGGTTATGTATAAACTTAGGTAACTCCACCTGGAGCCCTTCTGGAGCTACTTCCGCCCCCAAGCACGAGTAAAGGAGAGTTTGGCGTGGGGTCGGCAACTCCATCCCGTAGAAACAACCTTGCTGCGGAATTCACGAGGTCGACACCCCTCCTAACAATCAGAGCAACAATTAACGTAGGTACATGGGATGTCTGGGCAATGTGAGAGACCGGGCGGACCAATGGAATGGTTACGGAAATGGAGAGATACAAAATGGCAGTGCTCGAAATAAGCTAAACACATTGGATCCAAGGTGGACAGAAAAGGACAGGTTCGGCAGAGATGCTATTGTACTGTGGTCACGAAGAAGAAAATGCTCTGATGCTGTCCAAATAAGAATCTCATGGACCAAGGATCACCAAAGCATACCTCAAAACAAAGGAGGGAATCACAATGAATGCTATCCAATATTACCTACAATACCTACAGGAAGAAGTTACTGTGGAAAACAACTGGAAAGGGATGAAAAAACGCACGAGCTCCGACGTGTCAGAAAGTTCTTGACCGCAAGAAGCACCATCATAAGGAACGGATTTCTGTCGAAACCCTGGACTAGATTCATAAATGGAAGAACAAGAAGACAGCAATTAACAACAGCCGAACGAGAGCAGAGAAAGTCAAAACACAGGCTGAATACATTGAAACAAACAAGCATTAGAGCTGACAAGCGGAAATGCGTGGAAGACCTAGCAACGACAGTGGAAAAAGCTGCAACAGAAGGAAATATGAAACAACTATGTGACAAGACGAAGAAACTGACAGAGGAATATAGTAAACCAGAGTGACTGATCAAGGAGAAAGAAGGAGAGCCAATCACTGAAATTCGAGGACAGAGGAACAGATGGGTGAAACACTTCGAGGAACTCTCGAATAGACCAGCTCCACTGAATTTACCTGAAATCGAAGCAACACACAGACCTTCCTATAGATGTCACTCCACCAACAATCGAAGAAATCAGGATGGTCATCAGACAAATAAAGAGTGAGAAAGCAGCAAGACCTGATAATATACCAGCTGAAGCACTGAAGTTAGACATAAAAGTAACTGCAAGTATGCTTCATGTTCTATTCAGGAAGATTTGGAAGGAATAATGGAGGACGACAGATTGGAAAGAAAGATACCTCATCAAGATACCAAAGAAACGAGATCTGAGCAAATGTGAGAACCACAGGGGTATCACACTAATATCGGTACCAGAAAATGTTTTTAAGAGAATGTTACTAAACCGGATGGAACATTTAGCAGACGCTCGACTTCTAGATAAACAGACTGGATTCCGTAAGGATCTGTAGTGCATCGACCGAATTGCGACATTATGGATCATCGTTGAACAATCAGTCGAATGGAACTCGTCACTATACATAAACTTCCTTGACTATGAGAAGGCGTTTGACAATGTGGATAGGAGGACCTTATGGAAACATCCTCGACACTATGGTGTATACCTAAGAAGATCGCCAACAACATCTGGCATTCATACGACAGACTACACTGCAAAAAGATGCACGGAGGACAGCTAACCGACACATTCCAGATGAGGACCGGAGACAAACAAGGCTGCTTACTCTCTCCCTTTCTCTTTCTTCTGGTGGTTGACTGGATTATGAAGACCTCCACATCTGACAGGAAGCACGGAATAAGATGGACAGATCGGATGCAACCAGACGATTTGGACTTCGCGGACCACCTAGATCTTCTATTCCATACACACTAATAAATGCAGGTAGCATCAATCTCTCCATCAGTAGGCATCAACATACACAAGGAAAATGTAGGATCCTCGAATACAACACGAAGAACATCCACGCAATCACACTTGGTAGAGAAACTCTGGAAGAGGTGAAAACTTTAACATATCTGGACAGCATCAACGATGAACAAGGAGGATCTGATCCAGGCGTAAAGGCGAGGGTCGGCAAAGCAAGAGTCGCATTCCCACGGTTGAAAAACATATGGAACTCGAAACAACTGTCAACCAATATCAAAGTCAGAATCTTCAATGTGAATGTCAAAACAGTTCTATTGTATGGGGGTGGAATTTGGAGAACTACTACAACCATCATCAAAAAGGTACAAGCATTACTGAATGTCCGTTGACTGGATACCATCAGCAACAGCCTACTATGGGCGAGAGCAAACCAGCTTCCAGCTGAAGAGGAGGATAGGACGTACACTGAAGAAATCATGAAAATGAATCACGAGGCAAGCGCCAACTTGGAATCCTGAAAAGAAACGGAGAAGAGGGAGACCAAAGAACACACTGCATCGAGAATTAGAAGCAGACATCAAAAGGATGGATAGCAACTGGAAAGCACTGCCCGGGACAGAGTTCGATGTAGAATGCTGGTGGGTGGCCTCTGCTTATCCATGACGGTAACAGGCGTAAGTAAGTAATAAACTTAAGTGGCGCAAAGCATATCGCCTTCACATAAAATAAAAAAGTGACACTTTGCTAAGATACTTTTCTAAATTTGTCACATGTTCTCAAATAGTAGGGACCCAGTCCAGTAAAGTGTCATAAAAATAACCTCGTATGGTGACTAGCGCTGACAGATGATTCAAGTTAAATGTCTAAAACTTTAGTGCGACGTTACTAATAGGATCATATATGCACGTATGATTAACTGACGATTAAAAAACGTATGAGAATATTTAGTGCTAATAACTGAGAAATACAAAAATATTTTTTAGAAAGCACAAGACCAAACAGTCATATATACAAGAGCTAATCTGTGATAAATAAGCAATTTCGTAAGAACTGGGATCGTAAAGATAGCTATAAAGTTAATAACATAAGAAATGCAAAACAGAGGCAACCAAACCGTGATAAGTTTATTATACTTTATTATTTATTATACACAATACACACCACGTAATTTCTACGTAACAATTCTTGATATAGTACAGATACCGAGTAATTATGCTGATTATGACCGACCTTATTGAAAACAAGTTAGTCAGCTACAACAAGAGTAGGATGATGAATCCGCACTCCTTTGTCTTTAGGTATTAAATAAAGATAATCAATCGGTTTGGATAATCGTGGGTAACGATAGTGAAGAACATCACATCACAATAAACGACCAGAGTAGATGAAGCTGCTTATGAGTTACGACAACAGCTAACACTTTGATAAGGAACCAAACCAATCTACTATAAAGAACATGATTATTTAGTTGGCCAAATGTTCTAATGACGTTAAGCTTACTGAACGATAAAGGAAATTACTTAACGACGTACCAGATCCAAATAAACCACCAGGTTTAAGGGCAGTGGAAGTTGTAGCCGCTGTATTCGCTCCGAATAAACCTGTCGTGCCGGCAGGTCGCAATCCACCAGCTGTGCCCAATGGAGAGCCAAATGTAAAACCAGTTTGCTGTTGAGTCCCTTGCAAACCTGTTAATCCAGTTGCGGGGGCACCAAATACTGACGTTGCTCCCGCAGGTTTAGCGCCTCCAAAAATGCCGGTAGACTGGAAGGTAGAGAATGAGGTTTAGAAAATTGGAAAACGAAAGATTTAGAAATCTAAGAACTTTTATACATACCGGTGATCCGAATATAAGACCAGTACCGGTTGTTGGCTGAGTCCCAAAAAGCGAAGGCTTGGCAGCAGATGCTGCCTGATTTGACTGACCGAAAAAGCTAGTGGAAGTGCCTAATCCAGTGGCCTGTTGCTGTGGTTGACCAAATGAAAATCCAGTATTTCCAAGTTGTGGTGTGGCTTGCGCGGTTCCAAAAAGAGAAGTACCAGTACCAGCTGCTGAAGTGGTGCCAAACAAGGGTTTCGCACCAAAGACAGATGTTGCTGGAAAAATAAATTTGAACAAAAATACTTATTAATATGATATAAATGTAGAGAAAGATAATTGCAGTGACTTAGAAACACAAATTCATGATCATAATTAGATTTACTGAAATCGCTACAACCCACTTTGAAAGTTGTATTAGGATTGGAACTTGTAGTTGTTATACGAGGAAGATACTGATATCTTTGTGGCATGAATTAGATTTACAATCAGATTTCATTTAATCTACAGTCAACCACTTTTTTTAAATCTCGGAAGTGGTTTAGTAGTTTTTCTTAATCAAATTTAGTTGAAGACGAAATCTGTGTAGATTGAATTTGACTTGATGTGATTACACGAATCGACGATCGTGTTCGATATTGAAACCATCGAATTAGATACTTTCGTTGCATCGAACAGTAAACTTTGACTCCAAGATCTATTGATTAATTCATGAAATGTATTCGCATACATTTCCTAAGAATAAGCCTGGTCACACAGGTGTTGACTCTTCACAAAACGAAGTCCGACTTATTGTTTTCAACTGAATCTCAATTTTTATCCACTGCCAGGATCTCTAGAGGTAGCAGACTGTTCCTGTAGTTTCATAAACTTTACAGACTACATTCCGAAACCGTTTGAAGGAGTAATCCTAAATGTCTTTCAGAAAACTACAAAAATATATATATCAGAGATGAATGCTTAACTATGCCAGGAAAATTGTATTCACATATCAAGTAAAAATGTCCAATTAATTTGTATATCTCTTACCATTTCCTTAAGTGGATTAATCATATAAAACAAGTGTTCCTATGATGTAATTCTGCATTACAGGAAGATCGAAAATAATATACATTATATTTACTCGAATTAGAGGGAGAGAATTCTCACTAATTGTACAGCGTCAAGTAAAATAGCTGACGGACTACATGACGTGAAGAAACATTTTAAATACGTAGGAAACAATGAGCAGAGTTTATTTGAGTTCTGTTGCACTTTACTAAATTGTCAGTGTCAATGAAGTCTCCATAAACGCTTGAAAGTTAAAAATAAATATACGTAGAAAACAAGCTAAAGTAAAAGATGGCTGTACGTGGACATTTTTCATAACTCTATTTTCATTAATAGGGATATTATACAAGATTCAATGGAAAATGACAATGTTTACTTTAATTTACTGGTCGTCAGGGCTTATGCCGAAATGCTGTCGGACTTGGTTACTTCAAGTGCTGTTCGTCAAGGTTGCAATGCAAACATATTTGAGGTGCGGTTCTCTTCCTCCAAATGTAGAATGCTATTTCAGGACTGGCTTATTTTTATTAATAGAAATACTATACAAGACAATGTTTACTTTAATTTATGAGGAGTGGTAGGTAGTGAAATCAGAAGAGATGGAAAAGGCACCAGGGATTGATAACAGTGGACATCTGTTCAGATTTATCAAGGAAACAAGTATTAAAAATCCGGCTGTTAGTGAAACTATCTCGGAAAAAGACGGGACTATTATTCACTCTCGATCCAGGAAACTGGATCGATAGGCAGAACACTTTAGGGAACAGTTCAACTGGCCTTTAGTAACCCACCATGTCCAAGCAACCTGAATTGCAAATTGATGTAAATGAAGTTGAAAAAGCTATAAGTAATCTAAGGCTAGGAAGGGCAACACGGTTTGACGGACTAACCCCTGAGATTTTTAAGGATGGTGGTCCAGTTTGAGCAGTCAGATCAACTGAGATTTTAGCTAGAATTCGGCACTAAAAGTGATCTGATCTGACTCGTCTCGATCGCCGATCGTCCCAGTCTATAAGAAAGGACAAAACTCCTCTTTTGACAATCAATCATAGAGGAATCAGTTTAACTAATATAATGTCTAAAATATTAACCTCAACCATACTTCGATATCTGACTGGAGCTCGTGAAGACCACACTCGAGAAAAGGAGGCTGGTTTCAAACCTGGAGGTGGATGTATGGAGCAAATATTCACTCTTCGCCCGGTTCTGGAACACTGACATCCTTTTTGACGGCTGACTACTGTTGTATTTCTTGACCTTAAGGCAACCTTAGACTTTGTTGATCGTAAATTCCTCTGGCAATGTCCGTCACTGAAAGGCGTGACGAAGAAGTACATTAGCCTTGTACAGGTTCTCTACTCGAACACTACTGGTCGATTCAGAGCTTATGCCGAAATGTTGTCGGACTTGGTTACTTCAAGTGGTGTTCGTCAAGGTTGCAATGCAAACATATTTGAGATGCAGTTCTCTTCCTCCAAATGTAGAATGCTATTTCAGGACTGGCTTGCGTCATCGCCTGAATAATTAATGATACGGAGTGAAGTAGTTGAATGAATTGACCATGCTACTTATTTTGGGAATCCCATCATTTCTGACTGTCCAGTGTCTGACGAAATCTGCACCGGAATTCAGAAGGTTCGGTTGGCTTTTGCCGACTTGCGTCACTAGTGGTGTTGGTGAAATATCCGTGTATGCCCAACCACCGCCTACCTGGACGGTGTAACAATAGACTGGGATAAAACTATGACAGGCCGAACCAAAATATGGCATCAGTCGATGAATCCACTGACGAATGAACCTGCCTATGTTAATCAGTGTAGACTAACTGGTTAGGGTCCACGTGATTACCGTAACCAATGGTTAAGGATTTTGAATGAAGTGGCTCAAAATCGTTTACAATGGCGCAGTTGTATCCGTTTTTTTCCTTCCCAAACTATGGGATTCTAAATTCCTCATAACCATTTTTGATGTTTAATCCCACTAAACTATATTTTCTCAAATTGTATTTTCGATGCCTAATCTCTCCTATCATTACTGATACTGTTACTATCTCTACTATTTGGCCTACAATTTTGCTGACGGGGTATGTCAAATTGAACAGATGTTCATAAGTACTAGGTTTTACATTGTGACTGACTAACTTTGATTTGTTTGACCAAAGGCAAACCCAGTTGATTGAGATGCGGGAGTCGATCCAAATATACTTGGAGTAGTTGCAGCGCCGAATTGAGGTTTCAAACCCAAAAGACCTCCTAGAGTAACAATATAAATTTATATCGGGAAAATTAACTTGCTATAATAATAGATTTTTAAAGAGATAAAAAAACAAGGGAGAATGCTTATGCACCAATAGAGCTTAAAGTATAACTAAAATGATACTATATAATAGTTAGTCCTGGCTGAACTTATTCCTTGTGATAAATTGTAGTTACTCATAGAGAGCAACATCATACTTTGGTATAATGATAGCTAATGTTTAAAAATTTGCAATTAATAGCCGTAATTCAAAAAGCCAATTCACGTTATAACTTTAGGGGAAAGATACTTTACGTAACTATATGAAAGCCCGACAAAGAGTAACATACATTAGTCTAAAAAACGAGTATATAGAATCAGATTAAGATCCAATGCCTAAAGACAAGTAAGCATGCATACTATTATTTTGATTATGACTGACGGATATCATTGTCAGTAGAATCAACCATACTTTTGTCATGTAGATACCACACAATACTCAATGTAATTATTCTATACACATTTGCTTGTGAAACAAATGAAAAAGTGACAATTAATGTGATTAGAAAATTGATGGGCCACAGAAAATCTGAAGCAACAACTTTACTACAATCATTAAACATGAGTCGGTGTTAACAGTCACACTTTTTGTGACAATTACAAAACTAATTGTGTAGTTACGTTATAAATGGTTGAATTTGAAGTATTAGTTCCGCTGGAATACTATCCTCTTATTGGAGAAACTAACTCTAGTTAAAGGGGGATGTCATTAAGGAGGTTTGCATAAACAAAAAAAATGCACATAAAGCACATAAGTGATAATAGAGCACAGGATATGTTTAAAACTAAGTCAATAACCACTTTACATTTGAAATTGTTACCAGAAAAAAACGGTACTTGTCATATAACAATAATTCGTCGTACCTTGGGAAGTTTGTCCAAAGGCTGATTGAATCCCTGTACCTCCAAAAAACATACTATTGTTGCTACTAACACCACTGGCTGAAGCACCAAACAAAGTATTTGCAGGTTTACTAGTCTGACCAAAAATAGATGTTGTTGTATTCATTTGAGGTGATCCGAATTGAAACGGTTTCGCAGTGGATGAGGTGGCAAAGATTGAAGTCCCACCCGCTGATGTTGATGGACCACGGCGATTCAAAGAATAATCCTCTAGGCGAAGTTCCTACAAATCAAAAAACGCACACTATTTATTAAAATATACATTACTACTGTTACAATTGCACCAAAATAAGTATGCACCATATAAGTAAGAAAACCAAATTTTAAGAAGACAGAAGTAGAGAAGGAAATTCTCGCAGTTAATATACATGAGCAAAATCAGAACTAGCACCATTACTAATAATAGGTTGTTTGAGAAATGGAACCTTCTAATTCTTGCTTAGCATAAAGAATCGACAGTGCAGTGTAACACTCTAAAGTTTATGTAACTGAATGCCTCCATGACTAATTTATGTTACAGTAATAGAACCTATGGTAGGAATTTTCCTCAACTTTCATTTCATTTGTGTTGTTTACTGCACACAAATACTGGTACAAATGGACACCAAAACAAAATGCGCTGTACAAATAAGGAATTAGAATTGTGAAAAGATGGTCAAGAAAAATAAATGAATAACAAGTGAATGAGTGTAGTTAACAACAAGAGATGCAATTCACTTAGAAATACAGCCAAGAAAGACCAATTTCAGTCAAACAAGCTCATCTGGCCTTTATGAAGAATATAAAAGACAATCACAAGAAGGTCTCTATCCGTTTGTTTCGAGCCATTTCTAGTAACATCCCAAGACATCGAGTTGCATAACCTCTAGGATCCCAACTACGGAGTTGCGATGGAATGCTAGATACCAGTACTACAGTTTTGATTCATACCAAGGCACCGGGTCAAAAACTAGCCACCTCCGCGTTTTATTTAGCTAGTCAGCGTCAGCAATATGAAATTCTCTAGGAATATATTCAAAACACATGTCCAATTCAATGAAATCGCTGTCTCAAGATGGTAGAGCTAATTGGATTATCATCAGTGAATCCGAAAACATGTTGCCAAACCTCTTTATCACTAACATAGTGCTGCCACTGAATGTAACCAATCCCTCGGAGACAACGACGATCAATCAAAGTCGTCAAACATCCTCAACTCGGAAGCCACGTTTCCTGAAAATCGATTAAAACTGCTCTCATCTGATTTATTAGAGCCATATATATATCATGACGGACCCAACGAGCCATATCTGATAACGTCTTTAGCTACTGTGTAGCACCATCTCTCGGACCCCAGTCAGGGAATTGTAAAGGACCAACAGAAGCCAGTCCTTTTCAGCTTTCTTCCATACCCCGACACCATGTCATACACTGACCACCTCTCCGCTTCTTCCAACCAGTCCCAGAGTCGGCAAATAATGCACGACGTGGAATTCTCTGGGACGACATTCGGAGAACATGTCCAAGCCACCGAAGTCGGTGTTTCAAGATGGTGACACCAATTGATTATCATCTCTGTGCCCGAACACACGATGCCGAACCTCTGCATTACTGACATGGTGTTGCCACTGAATGTCAGCAATCCTTCGGAGACAGCGATGATCGAACACAGAGAGTCGTCTAACGTCCTCAACTCGGAGACCAGGTTTCACAAGCATAGAGCAAAACTGCTCTCACCGACGCGTTGTAGATCCGACCTTTTACAGCCAGACTAACATCACGAAGGCGCCAAAGGTGGCCCAGATTGGCATAAGCCGCTCTGGCTTTCACTATACGTGCATCGGTCTGACCATTCACGCCACCACTAGCACTTATGCAGCTACCCAGATACACGAACTTCTCGACTACTTCTATCTGCTCACCATCCAGGGTGAGTACAGGATTAGAATCCTGCCAGTCTTGTAGAAGTACTTTGCACTTCGAAGGTGCAAAGCACATACCATACCTACGGACACTGATTGCCAACTGATTAAGTGCGGATTGCATGCCTTGGGCATTATCGCACAGTAAGACAATATCGTCCGCATACTCAAGGTCGAGAAGTCTTTCTCCAGGCAACAGATCCACACCACCATTACTTACATTCATCAGAGCTGTTTCCAGAATGTCATCGATGGCAAAGTTGAAGAGGAATGGTGAGATTGGGCAACCCTGCCTAACCCCACTGCTCGAATGGAACAATGGAGAGAGGTGGTTGTATGCCCTCACTCTGCCTGAGGTATTTTTTATAGGGCTTTTAGGATGTTAATAAACTTCTCAGGCACACCCTTCTTCAATAGACAATCCCAGAGAACAGTCCTGTCCAACGAATCGAAGGCAGCCCTGATGTCAAGAAACACTACGATTGTTGGCCTTTGATAGGTATGGCGGTGTTCTAACATTTGGCGGAGGGTGAAGATATGATCAATACATCCTCGACCAGAACGAAACCCAGCCTGCTCCTCGCGAGTCAATCTTTCTCGGGTTTTGAACAACCTACGAAGAATGACGGAAGCCAATAGCTTGGACGCAATCGGAAGTTGAATTATCCCCCGATAGTTGTTACAGGAACGACGTGAACCCTTTTTAAAGATAGGGACAACTATCGACTCATTCCATGACGTTGGTACACTCTCTAGTTCCCAAACCTTTGTAAACAACGTCGTCAATTCCTTAGTCAAAAAGTCACCACCATCTTTAAAAAGAGCCGGAGGTAAGTCATCTGGGCCAGGTGATTTGTAACGCTTCAAGAGTTGGAGTTCCTTGCGGACTTCCTCCTCGTTTGGTGGATCAGTCGTCACCGGCCATGGAGGGCAGGACAGTCTGACCGATGTTGCCGGAGCAGCAGGCCAGTTGAACTGCCCTTCGAAAAATTCTGCCCATCGTCCAAGACGTCGATGGATGTTAGTGATTGGCATCCCATCATCCTCGCAGATTGTTTCACTCACACCAGACTTCTTGCTGCCAGTGGCTCGGATGAGTTGGAAGAGCTTCCGGTAGTTACCAGATGCAGCTGCTGCTTCCAGCTCATTAGCACGCTCCGACCACCAGGCTTCTCGGTCCTTACGCAAGCTTTGCCCAATTTCCTTACGTAACATCCTTCGTTTATGGTCAAACTCACGGTCACCCGGAGTAGACCGACGGGCTTCAATGAGTTGTAAGGAACCAGAAGAAACCCAGTGCTTAAAGCGGGACGTTTCGCAAACCCACAACTGACTGTTCCCGCCATTTTCATGGCGTCATGCAATTGCAACCAATGCTCATCTATACTTTTCGGTGGAGTGGTAGCTAGCCTAGAGGCTAGCTCGGTTCGATACTTACTTGCAACAGAAGTTGCAACCAGCTTGCTAACATCAATCCGTTGATGGCGGTCACTTCGTTGTCCACTGAAAAGTAAGGTAAGATTGGCGCAGACCAAGGCATGGTCAGAGTCCAGATAGGTACTCCAAAAGGAGCGGCAGTCTTTACACAACCACGCCAGCGGTAGCTGATCGCGATGTGATCAAAATAACGAAAGCAAGGACACTGATAAATTGCAAGTTGTGAAATTCACTCCTCGTACTTCAAATACATATATGATAGTTTGAAAATATGAAGCAGAAATGATGGTTTTAAACGTTGATTCATTAAATAACCTTGTAGTGACGTTCAGTTAATATTGCCCGAAAATCACGTAGACCAATAAATAATATACATTGAGATTAAAATAACCAACTAGGCTTAAACGGTGCAGACCTTTTATAAACCAGTTTACTAATTTTGCATTTAATTACCTCTAGGCTTTTATCCTGATACTCTTTCATAGCGGTGATGCACATATGTTTTGCATTTACTTGGGAGGACTGACCACCGCGTTGCATTATTTCGGTTGTAATGGGTGGATTAAATGCAAGTGACGTCCCATTGGAGGTCATACTTGTGGAACCCCACGACAACGCATTCATCTGGTTCCCAGTGAAAAGTTTATTTGTTCCACCGAGACCACCTGACTGTTGACCAAACAGGTTTGAAGTAGGCTGTGTTTGAGGATTCGACGTGGCTCCAAACAGCGGAGAACCTATGAAGAATCAATAATAACTATAAGGTACTTACTTTGTCCAAAAGCAGAGCTGGAAGTGGCACCGAAGGCAGCTATAGAGATAATGTCAAGTAGATTAATTACAAAACTTACGCTTATTTGCTCCGAACATTGTTACGGGTTGATTTTCACGCAATCAGAAAAAATAAAGTCTGAAAAGAGAAAAAATATTTGTTAATCAGTTGGAAAAGACCGAGGAAAAACTATGTAAGTTAGCCTATGGGAGATTTGACCTTTGTAATTGACAGCTTGTTGACAAGTTAGTCAAAAACTAGTAACTGAACTACACAGCCTCTCAAAGTATTGTCGCTGAGACTATAATTTTTAGACGGACTCTGAGAGACGCCAAAGTAACCCTTACTAAACCTGCCCACTTACTCGCGTCCAAAGAGGATTACAGACTAGGATGGAGAGTCAGCCGGGATTCAGAGTAAGAAGTGAGATTCAGGGTTTTCATCACAAAATGACATAAACATAATACCAAGATGCGACTTAATCATATGGATGAATGAAGTTCGCGCCGATACCCTAGAATCGGTATTTTAAGTTTGATTGGTTCATCCATAGATCGTGGTCTCGCAGACTTATTATACTTTTAAACCGAAGCCTAAATAATGCCGTGTAATCACAACAAGATGACCAAAGTCGACCACTGATAAACGACAGAGGCATTAAGTCAATGTTGATTCGAAGTCTAACAAAATGACTCCTTCGGTTCAACCGTTACCTTTAATAGGTGTTGACCGGAAGCAAATATTATAAAGTCGATCTGTTTGTGAATTTTATCACAAATCCACCCAGGGAAAAGTACTAAGTCATGTCGTACTGCACCAACCTCGCCCCGTTTAACTTAATCAACGCCACTTGGTTTTTATTCCGGGTGTCTATATCACACATCAACCAGCACAATCAAATACTGGCCGAATGCTATTTAGGTAGACTGAAAAGGAAATAAGCTAACTCTAGTTATACGCCAAAAGGAAATTTTCATTGCAACTAAATGAGGTTTTGCTCGTCCCCATGAGCCCTCAAACTATTTCTGAAGATAAAACCTCAACAGTATGTATGATCTCGCCATCCGTAGTCTAGATATAGAAAAGGCAACAAATAGTAATGGGGACATCAGGAACACCTGCCCACCAGTTATCAAAACTCAAACCACCCGCGGCAGCAGCGCATGTCTCAGGGTCAGATATTTAGAATAGAAGTTTTACAAGCTTCATTGAAGGACTTTAACTACGGTACTAAGCTTGTAGTAAAGGCATTTTATCTCAAAATACATGAGCTAAGAAACTTGAGGGTAATCTAAATGCAATACAACCCTTGATAGTGCTATTTCAACAAATCACAAGTTTACAGATAAGCCTTTTATGGAACAAATTTTAAGCAACCGACCTATCCGAATTTCACTATCGTACATTGGATCAAAATCGAGAATACTTATTCTCGGTTAAGAATAGTGAGTAGATTATTTAGTACTAATTTAAACTCTTATACACCTTACTTAGTATTTTCTCTCCGAAAGCGGCAGGGTAAGTTTATCTATCCTGACGAACAAAAGAAAAGGCAGTGTCTCATAGGTGGGAAAGGTATCTGATCAGTCGCTTATATGCATCCAGCTTTGTATTCAAGGACTGCCTATTAGTAAAATTAACTGTTAAGCTTAATTGTTGTCTGTCGAGGACCGAAAATATTTATGAAATCCCCAAAGCTGCCCACTCTTTGATGAACTAAACATAAACGAACAACAATAGCTGGAACATTCGCATTGCTTAGCTGTCTGAATATAACTAGATAATATGTAGTGGTACTGGTTTTCAATCACACGATCCTTGAAGCGGAACATATGATAAATAAGAACATTCACATTCAAGATTTAACACACTGAGGTGGCAAATGGTGGGTGCTGGAACACCTATCCTTGACATATAGGTAGGACCTCGCATATAATAATAATTTTACAATGCTTCTGATCGTAAGGATAAAATATGTACCCTGAGCGGACACTAGAAAAAGCCATCGAGGGTAACTTTGTTTATGGATGACATCCTACCAAATTCACCGAGAGGTACTGTGTTCGGGATGTGTGTAGTGTGAAATGTGTTCGGCCTTGCATTAATCCCGCTGGTGACGACTATGATGAACGAGTGATTCCTAGGGATGTTTAGTCGGTTAATCAAATTAATAGAGGGTAGGCACAAAATTCGGACACTAAATGTGTTCCGGACACATAATGACGGACAGTCAATAGGTACGAGTGAGAACACGAGAGGCATTTCAGCTTATTCAAACCGTTTCACTATGGTCATCACAAAAATAGACAACACATCTAACTTAGGTAAGTAGAATGGATAGACACAGTCGTACACGTTCATTCATGAAAACATCCGTAAACAACAGTGAATAAGTGGCAATAAAAAATAACTATGTTACATATTGTGGAGTGCAAAATACTTCAGAAAAATGGTATTACTGTGCAATAGCTAAAATTAACTAGCTTAGTCAATATAAGGAGTCGTTCATAGCCCATGCAGGTATTATTTCACAACACCCCCAAGATAATAGATTACTTTTCTCTACCACCAAACAGCACCTAAGCGAATGCCACTTGTGCACACTCAGTTAAAAGTCGGACGAAGGATGTGTTTAAACTTTGAGATCGGTGGGTTTTTAATCTGCAAAATTTATTTCCAGTTACATCCTGACGCTTGAATCTGCTGAGTGCTTTAAAAGTAGATTGAGATTTCATTTTTAAAAATACAACTGGAATTACTCACTCGAAACACCTGATGATCTCCCTGGTAGATTAACATAAAAAGTCGCTTTTATTAGTAGTAGGAAGTTTGCAACCGAGATGATAAGCTTGAAGTTCAGGGGCAGCTGACTCGATGCTAAAGTTGCTCAGAGCACAACGGGTTTTCCACCAGCACTTCAATGTGTAAAGTAATCCATCCGATATATGTTGCAGACTTCACGTTCAACTTAAATATTCCCACTCTAGAGGTACCTGAAGTTGAAAAGGATCTAGGAGTGTCGGTATCCTGGGACTAAGAGTCTTACGCAGTGTGTCAAAAATGACTTTCTGGAAATTCATACACTGGTATCGTTGGGTAACATTTTGGCCAGTTAAATAGTAGGACTTTTCACTTATTCTTTAATGATTTTATCTGACCCCATCATGAACAAAGAAACATTATTTTCCCCCTTACTCCGAAGGGATAGGAATAAACCGGAATGTATCCAAAGGAGACTAACAAAATCAGTTGGAGGGCTCAAATTCACACCTTATAAAAAGCGTCTAAATTGACTGAATCTTTGCTCATTGGATTACAGGTATCTCTGGACTAATCTTCAGATGAAATACAGGATTCTGAGCACTCCTGAAAACCCCCCTATACCTACTTAGACACAGTCCCAACACAGATCTTGAGTGTGACACTCGGAAATTAAAGACACAACACAGCAGAAAAAACTGTTGGCACACCTTTTACTCTTGAAATTTAGTCGAGTTCTGGAATCTGCTGACGGCCTAAGAGACTTATCAGGTGTCCTTCAAGAGAAAACTTGACATACAATTTAGGGCTCAGGACAGTGTTTCATCATAATGTACTGGTATTTCTCTTTTTATCTTTAAATATATTGAGGTTCGTACTTGAAGGCATCGGTTATCCACGTTGAACGAAATCTACTTTTATTCTGTCCAGAAACGTCTAAACCATTTGAAAGGTTTTTAGAGCAAAAAGTCAAATGGACGTGAAATAAAATCAAACTAGGCTTTTTAAATTGGTATTTGAATCTCACAATGAAAGAAACTTAATTCTACAGAATGGACGTAAACTGAAGGGGTCAGGAGTTTTTGTCTTGAAAGGTCTGCCGTTCGCGGATCGTATAAAAAGATGAGAAGCTGAAAAATCTCAAATTAAGGTTAGACGCTGGAGAGATGGACCTTAAATTGTAAGTATTTGGATGGTGAGGCCTCAACGGAGGATAATACCTGAGTCAGTTTGGGTACTTCAGAGAGCCATTTAAATTGTCTTCGGATCTGCTTCACATATGCATAAAGCTTTCTCAATAAACAAACGGAGCTAGGTGTGCAAATAGACTGTACCAAGCCGAATGTAGTCGAAGTCACAGAAACGTATCTGACACAGTCCATGAACAGTAGGAGACTTGATTTTAAATGCTCGACATTGGTAAGAGCCGACAGAATCCAAAATTGTAAGGGAGGAGTAGCTCTGTTAATCAGAAATACTATCTTATTTACTGTTGTTGATAACATATCTAGTGAAAAGGACACGAGAGGTAGTTAGTTGCTGTTTCAAATGCAAATAACAAGAGCTGCTAACTGGTCTACCACATTCTAAACTGTGAGGTCGACGACGTCTTGTTAGACTGTTTAAAACACATGGTCATCAAGTGGTCGGTGCTAAGTCATAAGGGAATTCAGTGCAACTACAATAGACTGGAAAATGTGATGACCGAGTTGTCAGAATGTTCTTTCGATCAGAAACTAGTTAACACGGTTATCACATATACCCTAGCGCAACATGTGAACGATGTAACTAGGTACGATTTGGACTCTGTATCATCTTTACTAGATCAAATATTGACTCATTATTAAGATGACGTTACAAACCTCTAGTATATGACACTTCTGGGCGAAAGCGACTGTAAAATGTGATCGATAGACGAACTCACCAGTAATAAAGGGAAACGCCCACCATCACATTAACTCCCTTTGACCTTGTACTACTGTATCTCTTTATTAACCAATCACAGTTTGATGTTCATTGTAAAACATTATTTGCTTGTTGACTCATTTTTCCTATTCTCTGGCTACTGTTCGGTATGTTATTTGTCTGTTTTTTCCCTGTATTAATAGACCGTACAGTTTGTACACAAAAGATGTTAATTTATGTTTTAGAAACAGATAAAGTTTATCTAGCCAAATAGCTTGCTTGTTCTGACTTTGGCCAAACCAAGACTCTGTATTCGACGGTCTAGAGAATAGCTCAGAATTAAACCTGTAGGAAATTGCTCCCTACAGCGACTATGCAGTTCAAGTTTTCGACTTCCATTTGGTTGTACATAACGAGCATGTGACAATTCAGCGCAAACCTAACTTCTGGAAAGCAAATATACACGGCGTTATACACTCGGCATCCTCAGCATATTGAATTATGAAATCCGAATAGCTTATTGAAGCGGCCTGAGAAGTATTCCGAAATTTTTACATGGAAGTCACCGCACCTTACATACCTTGTACTACGCCAAGCGACCTGATAAATCCCCCACCGTGTTTCAGTAAAACGGCTCTCATTCATCTCCGTAAGAGAAGAATGTGGGAGAGATTAAGATTACTAGGAGCTGACGAGACATAATCTCAATTTCGAAAAGACTGAAATACTTGTGCCTGAGCCCTCCGCAAGTCCAAAAGGTTGTGCGAAGAACTTGTTGGGGAATACATAGAATACTTTAAACACTTATACTCATAGATGAACCAAGGGACTAAGAGAAGAGGAAGGATGAGAGTATTGTGAGGAGACAATAGTACTGCATCATTAGTAGGCAACTATGGTAAAGCTTAGGCACTCTCAAATAACATTTACAATGTACGGACCTTTAAAATGCCCATTTTTTAAGTTAAAACAAACATCCCCACACACTGAACACAATGTTCACTAAAGAACTCTATGCCTTTGGTCTGCTAAGTGAGCTTGATATGAGAAAATTCATCTGACCCGATGAATTGCATTATATTTCCAGAAGAATAAGTAAGTTTCATCGCAAATCCCTCGAGCATTTGTGTTAATCTATCTGAAAACCAGGGTCGATAACCGAAAGACTAGAAGTAAGTCTTTTCTTCAAAGCAGGTACAAAACATTAACCTGAGAACTATCAACACACTACCTAACCATTCAACTCTACCTTTCACTCTTAGACATACTTCCTTCACCAAAACAACACCCGAATAGCCTTCTCGCATTAACCCCATTGGTAATAAACTAAACGTTCATCAATATGGAGTCGACGCTCCCAATTCTTCCTTTTCTCATGGCAAAACAGACAATTCACAGGGTTTACATCATACCCTTCTACTAGACAAACAGTCGCCGTATCTGACACTTATGTTAATCAACGCTCGATTTGTATAAAGTAAGATGACTCACCTACGCACCCTTTTACTTTT